CCCTTGGCTGGCTTGGCCTACACAGGCTGTTTTCACAGCTCGCTGGAACTCAGAGGTCAGGCCAGGCTCACCCTGCTGAACATTAACCAGGTTATTTCTGTTTTCCAGCCGCCAGGAACGTGTCCAGGATCCCCTTTTCCCCGACGAGAAGCTCCCCCCAAAGCCCCGCAAACCAGAAGTGGCTCTTTCCATCAATGTGGGGGTTTTCAGATAGCACCAGGAGCTGCTCTGCCCACACCACCCTGTACTAATCTGGCCTGCAGGGCCTCAGCTCCAGCAGCAAGAGGGGCTTTCCCGAAGTGTCTTTCAAGGATCCCTGAGGCACAAACTGGCTGTAGGATTCAGGATAACTCTTGATTTTCTTCTGCTCTCTCTTGGGGAAGTGCTTTAAGGTCCCTTTCTCAGTGTGGTACTTACTCTCAGGCTGAGTAAATGCACTTTATGGAGGAGGAAAAGGATTAATATATTGTATAACCCCTCAGTGACTCTTTTCTAACCACCCAAAATGCTTTGTTGGGTCAGATCTGACCTCCTGCTTCATCACTACTGAGATTTAGTGCAGTCACAGTCATCTCTTTTTAGAATTTTTCCCTGTCTCTGGTCACTGAAGTTGCTGCTGATACCAGAATTTGCTTTACTCTCTTTATCTCTAAACCTAAGTCTGTAGGAGGTGTAAGTCTGTTCATTCAGCTTTAAGAATGAAGGCAATGTGGAAATCTCTGAGCAAAGTGTAGGAAATGCGCTGAAAAAAACCAAGTCCAGCATCTGTCAAGATGTAAAACCTGGAGCCATTTTGTGATATGGAACAACAGGGATGTAATCTTAGATTTTGAAGTTTCTGGCTTCAGTTGTTGCCCATAAACTTCATTTAGCAATTTCTAGGGCATTTTTGTTGTCCCTGAACGTCATTAAGAGAAAAAACGGTTGGAAGAAATTGACAGATCCAATGCTTGATCTTCAGTGGGTTTTACTGTACTCAGGAAAAAGGCATTTATTTTCACTGTTCCTCTTCAGAGGAATTTCCCTCATTTCTCATCTTTCCAGCTGTTCTGATACTCTGTTTTTGGAGAACCTGTTTCTCTTGGTGTCCTTAGCTGATTTTGAGCAGCTCAGTGAGCTGGGCTCCAGGTCAAAGGCTCTGAAGTATTAACTCCAAAGTGAGCCTGATTATCCTGAATTAAATCTGTGATAATGACAGGACAAAACACAAGTTTGCTTTTGGGGGCTGCAGTAAGTATTTGACCTATTTGCTGTACGTAGTAGGAGCTGCCAGTTGAGCAGATTTCTCAAATTTTGGCTAATGTAAGATTTTTCATGTACCTTTTATAGGTTAACACTACTCTGGTATTTCAGACAGCATAAAGATAAAAATTGACACTTTGCTAGCAGCTAAAAAGAAAAAAAAGTGAAAAGCACCATAAAGCACACAATTATTTTTTATTTATCTGCATATCTTTAGAATTCAGCAGGTACTCCTGTGCTTTTTGGGGCTGATACTCTGCAGAAGGGGCTGTTAATGTCCTCACTCACTTGGATCCTGAAATCCCAGTTTCATGGATACTTTTCTGCCTGAGGGGAGGGCAGTGGATGTTTTCCCATCTTAATTTGTGTCGCCTTCTTTCCATATCAGGTGTTCTTGGGAGCCTGGGTTTACAGCAGGGGTCAGAGGTGCTGATTCCAAAGGTTTCTGTTCCCACATGGTTCCAGCCCATTGGATTTATTTGCTATCACTTCAGTTCCTCTGGTTCCTGCTGGAGAGCTGGACTGAGCTCAGCCTTCCTCTCTTGAATAACTCTGGTCTCTCCCTGAGAACACCAAGTTTGGAGAAATCGAAATGCAAATTCCAAGTGGGAATTTTGTGCCTTTGTTCAAGTGTAATGTAGCGGCACCTGCACTGAACCAATCTTGGATTATTTCTAATGTTGGCTCAAAATGCATTTTTTTTATTTTCTTCTTTGAAACTCTTGTGGGCCACTCCACAATGAGGGAGTTAATGGAAAACGGGTCTGGGGAGAGGAAACACCTTTTGAAAATGGAGTCTTTGGCTCTGTGGGTTCTGATGGTTATTTGCAAAGCCTCAAAGAGCTTTCATCTTTATTTTTCAAGTGTTCTTCACAAAATTAAATGTCATTTTTATCTGCCTAGTTGGGTTGTCTGTGGATGTCTCACTGGTTGGGAATGGCACAAACTGGTTTCTGACATGAGTATTAATTAGCATTCATCTTCCAACGTTCCTGAACCAACATTCCCAGCTCTGGGGGAGGTTTCCCCTTTCCTTGTGGATGTTGTCTTTTCCTGAGGTTCCTGGCTTGGTCCTGGCTCAGGGCTCTGAGTGCAGGAGCAGCTTTTTTTTGTCCTATGTTTCCAATCCCTGTGGGGAAAGCACTGAGGATGGCAGGGAAGGTTCCTCCATCAGGACACAATGCCACTCTGATGCCCTAGACTTACGAAAAGCCTTGGAATATTTTTTTATCCCAGGTTTAATGAGTTGTTTGGACTGGTTATTTTGAGCAACAGGTTTTGACTGAAATCAGCAATTGGCTTCTAGAGACTGCTAAGCCAATTTCTGGGGAAATAATTATTTTTTAGGGTGTTGGTGGTTTTTTGGTTTTTTTTTTTGTTTTTTGTTTGGTTTTTTTTTTTTTTTTTGTTATCTGCCTCATCCCAGCTTGCTCAGACCTTTCTGGCATTCTGGACCTCGAGACTGGGGGTTTCCAGGTACACAGAAATCTCCCAGAGTTGAGCTGAAAGATTCCTACATTTTTCTCAGCATCCTTTCCTTCCTGACAGGCGTTGTGCAGAGTTCATGGCATTTCCAAGAGGTTTACTAGGGACATTGGGAAGAAATCCTTCCCTGTGAGGGTGGTGAAGCCCTGATTGTAGGTTTTGGTTTCCAGTTAAATGGAGCTGTGCTTCCTTGGGGTGCCTGTGTGGGAAAATGAGCTAATGAGGCCAAATTTAAATTCCCCCCTGAGATTCCTCTTCAGGCATCTTGGATAGTCTGTGAAAAAACCGAGATAAACCACACAAACCCAAAATAAACATCCCTCTTTCCCAGAGCAGCTTCTTCCCAGTCTTCTTGCTTCCTCTGAGACTTCTTCCGATGCCCTGGTATGTGGAAGCTGTCAACACCTTCTGTTCTTCCCAGGATCACCAGATCCTGGAGTCAGAGCCTTTCTGGGAACCTCAATGCCCGTGGGTTAGGGGGGAAGGTAAAATGCACTTCCCCCCTCGAGCACCTGCTGCCAGGAGCCCAGGTGAAATTACCCTCTTGGTATAGAAGTGTCTACTGCCTTTTTCCTGGAAAAATTTCCTTGCTTGCACTAAGACCAGATGGATTTGCTTTGTAATACCTCCTTTCATTCCCAAATCTGATTCTTCCTTTACAAAAGGGTGTGGGTTGGAATGGAGTGGGTGATCCAGTGCCACCCTCTTGCCATGGCAGGGACACCATCCACTATCCCAGGCTGCTCCCAGCCCTGTCCGGCCTGGCCTTGGACACTCGCAGGGATCCAGGGGCAGCCACAACTTCTCTAAAAACTGTGCCAGCACCTCCCAGGGAACAATTCCTGCCCAATATCCCATCCATCCTTGCCCTCTGGCAGTGGGAGCCATTCCCTGTGTCCTGTCCCTCCATGCCTTGTCCCCAGTCCCTCTCCAGCTCTCCTGGAGCCCCTTTAGGCCCTGGCAGGGGTTCTGTGCTCTCCCTGGATCCTTCTCCTCTCCAGGTGAGCACCCCCAGCTCTCCCAGCCTGGCTCCAGCCTTGCAGCATCTCCCTGCTCTCCTCTGGATTTGCAGTCCCTGTTTCTCTTGTGTTGGGTCCCACAGAGTCACCTCTAAGTGATGAAGCAAAAAAAACCAACCAACCAAACAAAAAAACCAAACAAAAAACCCAACAACTTTTCCTGCTCCGATTCCTGCTGCTGACACACAGCATGTCTCCCTAACACATTTTATTCACTGCCTCTTGCTCTGAGGAGTGGGGGGGCACGGTTTGGGGGCTGTTTATGGGGGATTTCGCGCTGTTTCCAGGGGTTTTGGGGGGCTGTTTCTGGGGTTTTGGGGGCTGTGTCCAGGGATTTTGGGGTCATTTATGGGGGTTTTGGGGGCTGTTTCCAGGGATTTTGGGGCTGTTTCCAGGGGGTTTGGTGCTCTTTTCGGGAGGTTTGGGGCTGTTTCCAGAGGTTTTTGGGCTGCTTCCAACGCTTTGGGGCTGTTTCTGGGGTTTTGGGGGCTGTTTCTGGGGATTTTGAGGCTGTTAATGGGGGTTTTGGGTACTGTCTATGGGGGTTTTGTGGGCTGTTTCTGGGGCCGTTTCTGGGGATTTTGGGGCTATTTACAGGGATTTTGGGGCTGTTTATGGGGGCTTTGGGGGCTATTTTTAGGGGGTTTTGGGGGCTGTTTTTAGGGGGGATTTAAGGCTGTTTCCAAGGATTTTGGGGCTGTTTATCGGTGTTTTGGGACCTATTTTTGGGGGGTTTGGGGGCTGTTTCTGGGGCTGTTTCCGGGGATTTTGGGGGCTGTTTATGGGGCGGTTGGGGCTGTTTATGGGGGCTTTGGGGGCTGTTTCTGGGGTTGTTTCTGGGGGTTTTGGGGGCTGTTTTATAGGGGGGATTTAAGGCTGTTTCCAGAGATTTTGGGGCTGTTTATCGGGGTTTTGGGGGCTGTTTCTGGGGCTGTTTATGGGGATTTTGGGGGCTGTTTATGGGGAGTTTAGGGCTGTTTATGGGGATTTTGGGGCTGTTTATGGGGGCTTTGGGGGCTATTTTTGGGGGGCTTGGGGGCTGTTTCTGGGGCTGTTTCCAGGGATTTCGGTGCTATTTCCAGGGATTTTAGGGTTGTTTCCAGGGTTTTGGGGACTGTTTCCATGTTTTTTAAGGCTGTTTCCGGGTGTCTTGGGGGTGTTTCCCGGGTTTTCTCGCCTGAGGGTGGAGCGGGGCGGGCCGGTTGCTATGGCCGCGGCGCCCCTTAGCAACGGCCGGCGCGCGCGGGGCACGCCGGGAGCGGCGGGCCGGGGGCGGGCGCGTCCCGCCGTGATCCCGGTTCGATCCCCGGCCCGGGCCGGCCCGGCCCCGCCGCGATGAACGAGGCGGTGTCGCGGCAAACGCGGGAGACCCTGGGGCAGGTGATCCGCAAGCCGCCGCTCACCGACGCGCTGCTGAGCAAGCCGCCCTTCCGCTACCTGCACGACCTGATCTGCGAGGTGGGTGCGGGGGGGAAGAGCCCTCGGGGCCACCCGGCCCTGTGGGGCGTGCCCGGAGCGGTGTGTAAATCGCGGGGCTCTGGGCGCTGGGTGAGTTCGGGGTGGGAAAGGGGGTCACGTCTGCAGAGGCAGGGTTAGGTGGGGTTTTGGGAAGGAATTCTGCCCTGGGAGGGTGGGCAGGCCCTGGTACAGGGTGCCCGGAGAAGCTGTGGCTGCTCCTGGAAGTGGCCCAGGTTGGACAGTGGGACTTGGAGCAGCCTGGGATAGTGAAATATCACAGAATCTCGGGTGGAAAAGCCACCCGAGATCTCTGAGCCCAACCTGTGCCCGATGCCCACCTTGTCACCAGCCCCGAACACTGAGTGCCATGTCCTTCCTTGGGCACTTCCAGGGATGGGGACTGCACTCCAGTGCCTCACCACCCTTTCCACAAAGAATACATTTCCTGCTGCCACACAAGATTTATTGAGCAGAGGCTTTAAATGTTCTTGACTTACCCCATTCTGTTTTTTAGGTGATCAGAGTGACAGGTTTTCTGAAAGGACTTTACACAGATTTCGAGTTGAAGTCTGATAATGTCAAGGTGGGCACAGGACTTCCTTATTTACTTCGTTTTCAGTGTTTTTTGCAACTCGCCAGAAGGTTCTTTTGGTCTTTTCTGTGTTCAGCACCAAGGAGTTGTTGTTATTTTTGTGAAGAAGTTGTAAAAGTTCCTGCCTGTGGGGTATAATATGCTTTCCATGGGGTGAACCCCTATAGTTCTGTGTCCAAATTTCTGGTTTTAAAGAGTCTTGTGGTCTCTCAAGAGAATCCATGGCCCTTAACTTATTGCTCTATATATTTGTGTGTATATACAAATACGTGTATATATATATGGTATATAGATATATACATTAAATATCTGTGTTTATAAATATCCCCAGGACTCACCTATCTAGGATATGCATTCCACAGTAGCTTTATTGCCGTGTTAAACTGGCTGATTACTGAAAGAGGAGTTTGATATTATAACTGAAAACTCCTTAAATCCAAAGGTGACTTTACTCTCTGTTTGCTGCTTTCCTCTGATTTTTGGCTGAGCTGATGCTGAGTTCCCAACTCCCAGCCTGATTTGGGAGCTCTGGTTGCTGATTCCTGGCAAACAGAGCAGTGTTTGTGTGTTGCCACTTAGGCAGCTGATCCCATGGTGTTTGTTTAACGTAGCAACTGAAGTGTGAGCTCTGACTTCTCATCCCTCCAGCCAGCTCTTGCACGTTTTAGTCACTGATTAATGTGTGTGCTTATTTCTGTGACTGCTCCTACTGCTGTCAGGATAACTAAAATTAAGTCATTTATAACTGAATTGTTGGGTTTTTTGATAGTGTCCTTATTGACCTAAAAAGCAGATTTCCCAGCTCTCCTGAGCAGGTCTTTGTTGCATCTACGTGCTGATATGTCTCTGAGAATTTGGTTCACAAATTTCTTTCACAGCCCGTAAGTCCATGGGGTTTTCCAGAGCTCAGGCAGAGGAAATCAAAATCCTGGAGTGTGGGGGAAAATGTCTCATCCTTAAGTTCCTCTTCCCAAAACTGGTCAGGATGAAGACTCAGCTGCTTCCTTACTGTGATCTCTCTTGGAGTTGTAGAAGATCAGGAGAATATTTTTTTCTGAGTAATCAACAGGAGAGAGCTGTAAGGAGGACTGAAATGATGATGATTTCTTAATTTTGAGGACTTCTGTGCAATTTCACTTGGCTTTACTTTGTTTATTTGATCTTTTATTTTTAACTTCTGATTTTATGTTATCACTGGAAGACATCATCTCTATTGAAGGGCAGCTGGGGCAGGTTGTTTGTAAAGGATATTTGTAAAACTAAAACAAACATGATAATGTGGAGATAAAAGTTTCTCTTAATTGCTCTTTTACCAGGATAAGGATTCCAAAATCAACTTCCTTCAGAAGGCCATTGATGCTGTTGTGATGGTGACAGGAGAGCCACTGTCAGTGAAACCAGCACGAGTTGTGGCTGGACATGAGCCTGAGAAAACCAATGAATTCCTTCAGGCAATTGGAAGGTGTTGCTTAAATAAGGTAGGAGATTATGTAGATTTTATGCACACAGGGAACAGGGACAGGAGGAGAGGTTTGGAGTCCCCATCCCTGAAGGTGTCCAAGGAACACCTGGAGGTGGCGCTCAGAACTCAGGGCTGGTGACAAGGTTGGCATCAGTCACAGCTTGCACTTGATGACCTTGGAGGTCTTGCCCAACCCAAATAATTCTGTGTCTTAATTACCCCTCTGCTGTCATTAATTGCACAGTAGAAACATTTTGTCACCCCTTAATAGCAATAACAGCAGATAGAGAGTTCATGATCTTCAGCAAGAGCTTGAGCCAGCTTCCCACACAAATGCATTCTGAATAGTAAGGATTTTATTGTTCACTGTTGTTCACTTTATTTGTTTGTCTTTTAACAACATTTATTAGATTTGAAGCACAAAATGAAGCTTCAGAACCTTTAACATTTTGGGGTACAGATGCATTACTTAAACAACCAGTTAACTCACCTCTGGCTTTATCTACTTTCAGTCAAATCTCTTAATCGTGGAATGAAAGTCATTTCTCCACTGTGCTTTTTTTGATTATGGAAATACAATAATGGCAAAATTTGATGACTGGTTAAAAGCAACTGCAGGGGCTATTCTTACACAGAATTATTGCATTCTTTCACAGAAATATTATGTTTTTTCACTGAATTGTTACATTCTTAAAATAATAATTGCGACATTAATTATTTAATGAAACAGCTTACTCATTTCAGTTGTGTTTTTCTGTTCCTTGCAGCTGTCCAGTGATGCTGCTGTAAAAAGGGTCTTGGCTGGGGAAAAAGCTGATGCTAAAGGGAAACCTCCACCATCTAAACCTCAAGATAAAGACAGCAGAGAGCCCAAAGCAGAAGAACACAAAAGCCATAAGGACAAAGAGGTAGCATTTGCATTTTGGGGGAGGTACTGGGGTACCATGATTTATTTGTTTGGGGTATTTTTACCATTTTTGTGTTTGTAGAGCCACTGTGTGATTGAGTTGCCATGTGTTGGAATTAAGTTTTAGTGTTTGCTTTCTCTTTAGAGCAGAAGAGACACTGAAATTAAAGACAGAAGTTCCAGCAGAGACAAAAAACCCAAAGAAGATTTGAAAGAGAGCAGAGAAAGAGAAAAGGAGAGAGATAAACAGAGGAATAGTGAAAAGAGGCACAAAGAACCTGAAAGAGACACCTCAAAGGAAGTAGAAAAACAAGAGAGGGAAAGAGGCAAAAACAGAACGACCAAGCAAGGAAGGGAAACAGAAAAAAACAAAGGAAAAGGAGATGCAGAGCAAGGAGACAACCTCAGGAATGATAAAGGACAGGAAAGAGAGAAAAGACATGAAGGAGAAAGAGAAAAGGACAGGCTGAAAGGAAGAGACAAAGATAAGGCCAGGGACAGAGAAGGAGAGAAAGACAGAGAGAGAAGAAGAGGTCGGGACAGAGAAGAAGATGGAGAACATCTCAGGGAACATGGAAAGGAGAAAGCAGAGAAAAAGGTAATTGAAATGTTACTTTGGGGAAGAACTTTAACCACACTGTGGTTGGGATTGTGTTTCCTCTATTGGTCTTCCATGTTTATATTCCTACTCATTCAGCAGGAAGGGACATTGTTCCATGGGCAGGGACACCTTCCACCTTCCAGTCCCAGGCTGCTCCAAGCTGCAATGTCCAGCCTGGCCTTGGGCACTGCCAGGGATCCAGGGGCAGCCACAGCTGCTCTGGGCACCTGTGCCAGGGCCTGCCCACCCTCCCTGGGAACAATTCCTGCCCAATATCCCATCTAACCCTGCCCTCTGGCAGTGGGAGCCATTCCCTGTGTCCTGTCCCTCCAGGCCCTTATCCAAGTCCCTCTCCATCTTTCTTGTTGGCTCCCTTCAGGTGCTGGAGGGCCTTCTCAGAATTGGGACTGAATGGTTTTTAAGGTCCCTTCCTACCCACACCATTTAGGATTCCTGGATATTCTAAAGATTGTGGGCCCTAATGTGCCCTGAGAGCCACCTCTTCATTGCCTTTCATTTTGTTACTCTTCTATTTCCACTTCCTCTAAATATTTCCTATTCTGCTTTTCTTGTCTGTTGGTAGAAATTCAGGATTGATGGGCACTAAAATGCTTCTCTTGAATCTAAACCAGTTCATTTCTTTCCAGCCCTCAGAATCTGAAGAATCCATGCATGGAAGACCACAGAGGCCAACTAAAGACAGCAAGTGCCAGCCAGACACTGAGGTTAGTAGTGGAGGAGGTAGGAATAACCAAAGTGTTGCATTTTGGTTTGGGAATCTGCTCGAAAACAATGTAGGGTTGAAAAATGGGTAAATAGCAAGTTTTAGGGCTGGGAAATACATGAAATAGATGATGCCCTGGGTTTTTGGTTGTTTACTTATTAAAAAACTCTCTGAGCTTGGACCAAAAAAAAAAATCGATTCAGTTTATTTCATTTTGAAGTTTTTATTTCTTTGTATTTGTATTTTGGACACTTCACAGATGGTTTGGGTTGGGGGGAACCTTAGAACTCATCTCTTCCAACCCCCTGCCATAAGTTTTCTTTATTCCTCAGAATCTTTCCTGGAAAGCTGATAGGGTTTTTGTATTTGTTTTTGAATTTTAGCAGAAATTACTGTTTTGGAAAGAAAATTAGTCCCGTGTTGTTTCAGGGTCTATGGTTTGCAGCTGAAAGAGCAGCTCAGTGCCTCTGCACAGGAGCTGCTGCTTGTGTCACCATTGTGCCTCCATCAGCTGCTTCCTGATGACCTGAGGCAGTTTGGGGAATTATGGAGCCACGTGGCCAATTGTTTAAAGAGGGAGACTTCAGTAAATGAACCTAAAGCAGCACAGGCTAAGAAAAAAACAGGCAGGATCTCAACTCTCGTAGAGTCTCTGGGTCGACTGTCATTATTGTGTCTTCCCCATGAGATGACAAATTTATGGCTCTTCCTTGACTCTAGTCCATCCAAACTCTTTAAGTTATTGGCACTGGGACGGAAGAGCTTATAAAGAGCTTATAAAAGAGTTTTTTTTTTTTTAGCCTCCAGCAAATATTCATGGCCAAGTCAAACTTCCTGCAAATTGGGTCTCTAATGGAAATTCTGAGGCTCATCCCAAACTCTCATCGTGCTCTTGGGCACCACAATAATGCAGCGGGGCAGTAAAGTTTAATTTCCCCTCCTAAGCGCTTTTGGGAGGGATTCCAAAGCTTTGGAATTATTACCTGAAATCCAAATGACATTCCTGCTTCTGCCTGCTTGCGTAACAGCAGAGGCTGCTCGTTTCTGAGATGAGGAAAACACCAACTTGCGAGCAGAGCATGGCAAACGTCATCTTTTTAAAGCTCTGGAAGGGAGAGATGACATGAAAACGTGCCTAGTGAATTCTGGGAGCTGAGATAGCTGCACAAAGTGATTTAGAGGAAATTCCAGCAGGAAATCATTGGAATTGCATCTCATGGACTTGATCTTCATGGGGTTGATCTTCTGGTCCTCGCAGGAGTTTCCCAGCCTTTATTTCCAGGGGTTTACCTCAACTTGACCGCTGTGGCTCCCTTTGAGTCACGTGGCAGGGAAACAAATGTATTCAAAAGAAGGCAAACAACTTTCTGTGCACATGAAGGATTATGAATGGTATTTTGTGGTCTCTGCTGCAGAATTAATAAATCTTCAGCATCTCTCTAGCTTTTTATATGTATTTTTTCTATAGATAGTTACAGAATATATCTATTCACTATAATAGAAGTGAAACAGTTTGAGGCAATACCCAACAAGTCAGCCACTGTTTTATCCCCCATCAGGATTAACCTCTTTAACTTTTTACTGCATTTACTTTAGAGAACAGGTCAATTTAGAGGTATTTTTTTTTTAGTATTCTACATGTACAGAAAGCTGTCACTTCAAGTTTAGTCCCTGACTTTGCTTAATGAGATTTTCTCTATTCATGCATATCTCAATTTTTCTTGCTGCTAATTATTGAAGCCAGCTTTCAAATCTACTTAAGGCTTTTTTTTTTGTAATTTAAATGTAATTTTTCTGTTGTTAAAGAAACTCTTTGTATACCCAGTGTGCAGTGGTCATCACATGACTAATTTTCTGGAGCTAGAAGAAAGCAGGGATAAGTAGGAATTAAGAGACATTTGGCTACCACATGGCAATCAGAAGCTGCCTCAAGGCTGGCTCTTGCATCCCGCAGTTTGTGATTGGGGAGAGTCATGTTCTGTTCACTCTCAGTCCATCTCAGGGAAAAATCTGATTTAAAATGGCCTTTTGGACCTTCTAAATAATGAAGATCATTATTATTTGGACTTGACAAGAGGTGGGGGAGGTCACAGAGCATCTGGTGCTGGAAGTGGCTGCAGAACAGGTAAATCATTTCCCCCTGAGGCCAAACACCTTGAAAAAGTCTCATCCATGTTTCCCATGGCAGCTGGAGCTCTTGGCTAAAGCTTTCTGCAATATCCTGTCATTTCTGGCCACTTGCAGAATGGGTTTGAATTTGCCCTGCAAACTGTATTGCTCTGGAAGTGGTCACTTAAAGCAGCCTCTAAGTCCTGCCTAATGAACCTCTGTTCCTCTTGGAATTTAGTTAGGTTATGTAATGAAACTGTGGAATTAAAAAAAGGACAGCAGAGAATCACTTTATGAAAATCTGCAGGATGTAGCTAAAATACTTCTGTTCTGGAGCTGGGAATGTCCCTCTCTCTTTGGTGTCACTACATCAGAAATCCATCATTTAAACTGCTTTAAAACCAGAGATTTTCCTCATCTCTTTATGTTTGAGTTAATTTGCAGGATATAATACCAATAGAACATCATCTTGAGAGACTTTAGGTAAGGAAAAGAGAATTGATTGCTATTTTCCTAATAAAGCTTATCAGCACAGCACTCAAACTGGCCTTAGCAAGTGAAGGTCTTGTATGTGGTTTTACTTACATAAAATGATACCTGCTTTCTGTTGTAGAGATGGAAAGATACCTCCTGGCACTGTGGATTTAATTAGAAGAAAAGTACTGTGGAGGGTTGATGGAATGGAATTGCTGTTCACAGATTAATTCTTATTTATTATTAGAGAACCATCAGCAGAGCTGATGAATTAGAGGGGGGAATCACAGTGGCTTATTTTATAATGAGCTCTGAAACACCAGCAAACATTTTCTTCTGTCTTGGTATGAGATTTGGCCTCTTTAAAGGTTAATAATGAGGACAAATCAGCACCCTGGATGGTTTGCAGAAGGCTCTGGATCCTCTCCACATGGAAACATAATTAGTCAGGACTGGGAAGCTGCATGCATCCATCAAGGATTCTGCTGTAATGTGTTTTTCCAGGATGGTGTGAGATGAAGTGCAATATTTCCCTTTAATGGCTCCGGTGGCTGCTTGTCAAAGTCTTGAAGGGGAATAACCTCTTTTATCTCCCTATGGAAAGTGCCCCAATCATAAATATTGTGGGCTTTCTGTTTTTGTGTGCTGCCATAGTGAGTAAACGTCAGCTTTCACCCTGCACCTGCTGCCAGGCTGCACATGTGGCTCCAAAAAATTCTGTTTGTAGCCACATAAATAAATGACCAAATCCCCTCTTGCAGCAGCCTCAGCACCTATTGGCAGCTCCCTCCCCACCTGTGCTAATAATGACCTCACCCAGAGAGCTGCTGGGGCTGCAGTGTGCCAGATGTGCTCCTGATGGGGTAAGATCTTTCTTTTCCCTCCTTCCATAGAGTTGGGCTTGTGGACTTTATTATGGAGAATTAAAGTTAAGATGAACCACTTAAAGATTGGAATTCTGTCTGGTTTTCCTTAGAACATGCCAGAATCTGTAAAGAGGAAAACCACTTCCTTCTGGTGGAAGGTTTCCCTGCCCAGGACAGGGGGTGGAAGGTGATGAGCTTTAAGGTTTCTTCTACTCAAACCATTCTTTGATGGCATAAAAATGGCAGAATTTGTGATTCTCAGGTTATCAATATGGACATTGGAGGTCTTTTCCAACCTTAATGATGTTTAGCAGGGCTGACAAAAAATCTTGGATTTGAAAACTGCAAAAAATAAAGCACACAAGGAAGGAGATCCCGGGAGGTGCTAAATGTATTCCAGGATTTGGGATATTAGGCAGGATTTTTATTCAGGGAAGTTGCCATTTAAATAATGGTAGCAACAATTTTTAAAATGCTTGCTTCTCTTTTGGAATGAAGATTTTGCAGCAGGTTGAAGAGGAGCTGTGTATCTGGTGCAGCTGTGAAACACAGAGGTGATTGTAGGAATCATCCTCCTTTTTATAACTTTTTTATTCCACAAGGTTGGATACTCTTAGTTCCCATTTGGAAGTTGTTCTTACATCCAATATGTTCATGTAAAAGAAAATAACTGGCATTTATCCAGGAAAAAATATCCACAGGCTGTGAGGGAAATACAACATAAATGTGTGGATCAATTCTTAGGTCAATATTTGCTCTGTATAATACTTAGAAAAGCAACACAAGGAAGTAAATTTTAGATATAATGATATAATATTTAGATCTACTGTTATATAAATTTCTGGTCTCTTAATGCTTTGTTTTGGTTTGGTTTTTTTTTTCCAGAATGAAACTCCTGCAAGGATATCAAAGCAGCCTTCAGCAAAGGCATCAAGGCATCACTCCAAGCCCGGAGGAGAAGGTAACCACAGGGAGGATATTGTTACTTCTATCAAATATGCTGGAGGGTTATTGAGTAGGAATAGCAGAAATGCTTAAATATCCCTGTTATTGTCAGGGTTTGGTCTGTACCTCCAGCCTGCATTTGTGAATTCAAGAGGCAGTTTTCCTGCCTGGATTTGGAATATAGGAAGCGAGATTCAGTTCAGTTTGCTCTCATTCCCTGTGCACAGTTGCAGATAGAAATTTAGCCTGCCTTTGGTAATTTCTGTGTAATTGCTCTCTAAATGAGATTTTGGACTTGTCTGCAACGATTTCTGACATTTAACATTTGTTAAATGTTTACAGCAGAGCAAAGTGAAGGTTGAAATGGTTTTAATTTGGTTTAATAGACAGTTGGTCCAGGCTTTCCAAATAAATTATTTCTCTGTGGAGGGGCTTCCTTGCAATTATGTCACCAACTTTCATAGTTCAACCTTTAAATATTGTATTTAACACTGACTGGAAAGTGAATTGTCTTCAGAATATCCCAAGTATTGTACATCAGGAGGAAAAGAATCTTAGCTTAGCACTGCCATCTCTTTGTGGAGGAAAACAAGAGGAAGAGCCTGGAGAAACTCCTGGATAAGGAATAAAAGTGGTTGTACTCAGAGCTCAGACAAGCAGCAGTGGAACTGCAATTTCTGTCTGTATTTCAGTGCCTTTCCCCCTCCTCTTATTTCAGTGATTGATCCTAATTTCCTTTCAGTGCTTTGTGCCCCTGGTATTTTAATTCTAAAGGAGAAGTCACTGTACCTAAATCACTTTAATGTCTCTGTTCAGAAGATTCAGTGACACCTGTAAATTGATGCCTGTTAAAAACGGCCAGTTCTGGTTAAAAATTCGTGCTGTTTAGACTAATGAAAATCTTCATGCACCTAATTTTCCCATTTTATTATTATTAATTTATAATTTTCCAATTTCATTATTATTAATGTATATAAAGAGATCATGTGTTGCTGGATGTGTTCCCAAGCGCCCACTTTTTTTTTTTTTTGGATTTCTGTTTTAGGTTTCCATGTGTCTGAGGCAAAATACTGGAGTTATATCAGTCCTGCTTTCAAGATAATGAATAGCTCTGTTTGGGTACCTTAAATGCATTGGAAAAATCCTGGCATTTGGGATCTGAATGTGTGTTAATTTAGGAGCCTCATTCAAGTTGGTGCTAGAAAATTGAAATTTTTATGTCGCATCTCCTGTGCTGTGAAGTCTGAGTAATTTGGCAGCTGAAAAATCTCTGTCTGGATTCCATTAAAACTGCAGCCTTATTTTACTGCTTAGTGATCCTTAGCTGATCCTATAACTTATTTTAGTTGCCAAAATTACAAAATTTGTTTTATATGGCCCTAAACTGCAAAGACCCGACACACCCCATTTATAGGATTGTCCCTTTAAAACCAGAATCCAGTTTTCCTGATAAATTTAATACAAGGAATGACTTTAGGATGAGTGTTTTAAAATACTCCTCTTTCTCTGATGCAGCACTCAAATTTTAGTTTAGCAGAGCCAGGAATATTTTGGGGCATTACCCTTCTTTCTTTTCTGACACAATGGACTTGACATAGGTGAATAATCCAGCAGGTAGGAAAACTTTCTGAAGCTGTACTGATGCATGTTGCACACCTGTGATGATGATCAGAGCTTTCTGTTTTATCTTATATTAATTGGAAATAAATCAATGTACAACAGGAGGGAATGCCTCTTCTCTGTGGGCAGATAAATTATAGAGGTTTATACTGAATATTTCATCTTTCAGGAGTTCAGTCAGCACTCATTTAAAAAGTCTTTGTGCACCTTGAATGTGATTTATTGACACTGAAGAGGGTTTATTAAACTAGGGTAGCCCTTAAAGAAGTCCTAGCAGGTATTTAGCATGGCTTTTTATTTTGAATTTTTATTGGCTCTTGGGTTTCATTTGACTATAAACTGGTTTGTTACAGGAGCTGTGGACATGAGGAGTGTGGCAGATGGGATTTCAGAGGATGGTGCTGCTGAGCTGCAGGAGAAAAATGAACCAGGTCTTGCAGAGAAACAAAAGGGTAGGGAAAGTTAAAGTGTGACTGCCATGGAAAGCCCAGCTGGGGTGTTTGGGTCAAATCCATGCAGCTAGATGATGTAAGGAGGATGATTTACACTTAATCTAAGTGCTGCCATGTGTTTTAATCACATCTGATTAATTTTCTGCCTTGAAAAATGTCCATCCTCTGATAAAGCAATTGCTTTTATTTTCTTTTTTCCTCTTCTCTTTTCCAAGAGGCAAATGCTGCACCTGAATCCCTTGCTGACCTGTTCTCTGTAAGAAGAGAATCTTTGTACGTTGCCTTTTAGTGTAACTATTTGGAAGTCTCAGCATTTGCATTTTACAGGATTCCAGAGGAAAATTCCAAGCCTGCATTCTTTCTTACTCCTCCATTTCCCCCCCAAATTTGATATAGCTCCCAAGACATGGATGTGTATCCAGCTACAACACTAATGGAGCCATGGAAGCAAAGTGCAGGAGGAGGAGCTGAAATTGCAGCAAAAAGCTGCATTTTTGTTCTCTCCTGCTGCAGATGCTTGAGCCATGTGGGAGGATGGATCCCATGGATATGGGAGGTGTTCCCAGCCCACCTTTGGCCTCCAGGGCCTCGTGGTTGTGGCAGCCTAATGAAATATGGATGGATGGCCAAGACATTTGTGGACCTTCCCCAGCTGGGAGAACTTCCATGTGAATTCTGTTTCATCTCTTGGAGCTGTCTTGTCCTTTAGAATTCATTTGGGGTGGGAAATAAATTATGTTATAATTGGAATGGATGTAAGAAGAATGCCCCCATGTTCATTATGGATTTGGACTGGATCCCCTGGTGGTGTAAGAACCAAATATTCAGGGTCAGAAGAATCATGAAGGTTGGAAAAAATGTCCAAAATCATCAGGTCCAACCTTTACCATTGAGCTCAACTTTTATTTTATTGGTTGATCTTGTTTTTCAGCTTTATTCACCAAGGCACTGTAAACTCCTCAGTTTTTGGGTTCAGGACCTTTAAGATCCAAATCCAAGCCATTCCATGAACGCAGGATTATAAAATGTTGTTTATTAGCTGAAGTAAACTGATTTTCCTGGACCTTCTAGAGCTTTATTTCTATCTGCTTCAGTTTTGTTGCAGAGCAATGAGGCTCTGTATCCCAATTTTCTTGGCCCTGGGAGTAGTTCCCAGGTTCTGGATGTAATTCCTGTTATGTGCTTCTGCAATCTGATCAAGTTAGGCATGAATAAATATAACTTTTCTGAAAAATCAATCTGTTTGTTATTTACAGATTAATTTGCCAGAGGCTCAGTAACATTCCAGTGAAAAAAGAAACGTTGAAAATGTTTAACAGAAAACTATTTTTTTTAAATAAATCAGGCCTTTCTCTAATACTTTTTGCCCTTTTTGTGATGTATTATAAAATTTTTTAACATAATTAGGCTGAGTTTAGATGCTTTGAGTAGACTTTAATAAAGGAGTAGTCACAACCTCAACCAAGAATCCCAGTAGGGGAAGATAAGATGTTAAGGGAAACAAAAGCATTGAGTGAGATGATGTAATTTTCACAGAGGGGGGAATTTCACAATATTAAGAAACTTATAAAAATGAAGAAATTTAACTGGTTTTTTTCAGTGCAGTGCTAAGATTCCAAATACTGTCATAAAGACCTGAGGTTTTCCTAGCCCAGCTAAGCCCTAGTTTTATATTGTTTTGTTTAATAGAAAGAGAAACGGAGAACGCTCCTGACAAGCCTGGAAATGGGGAAGCACCTCCTGATGTCCCACCTCGGCCTGCCCAAAGGTGTGTTTCCATCCTTTCTTCCCTTCTCAATCCATAAACTGCTCCCATGGAATTTACTAAAATTTTTGAGGAGAACATTGCATTTCCTCTGTGCATTCCATAAGGAAGGTATTATGGATAAGCTGAACTTGCTTTTCAATTAGAATGTTTGAATTTTTTTTTTTTTTTTCCTCAGCAAAGGGCTTGTGTTGCTGTGTCACTTGTGAACATGATTTTTCCCCATTCCCACTGTTCTTCCAGACGGATTCCCCGTCCTGGCAGCGCAAGGCCGGCACCTCCGCGAGTGAAACGTCAGGAGAGCACCGAGCTCTTAATCCCAGAAAGGTGAGGGATGAGGGAGATGTGGAGGGGAGGTGTGTTCCTTGGAGCACACCCTTCCCAGCTCCTCTAGCATCACCAGTTCGAGAGGGTCACCTCATGGTGGGGACATGTGGAGTTCCCATCCCTGGAGTGTCCAAGGAACGCCTGGATGTGGCACTCCGTGCTCTGGGTGGGGGTTGCTCACAGGTTGGACTTGAACAGGTTTTCCAGCCTCAGTGATTCTGGGATCTTCTGATGGCTTTCAGTTGAGTTTAGTTTATTCTGGACAGATCTCAGTATTTCCATTCATTCCCCTCTTCCCTGTATCCCTGACAGGAGCGGCAGTGCCAAAACAGCCCCGACCGTGCCCAGGGAGCAGCAGGTTTCTGATGAGGAGGATGAGCAGTTCGTGGTGGAGGCAGCAGAGACCCTGCCAGAGATGCCAAAGGTCTGTTCCTGCTGCAGCTGACTGAACCTTTTTCCCTATTTTGTTTGGAATGTCCAGCCCGAAGAGGAGAAGGCTCCTCAGGAGAGCTCAGAGCCCCTTCCAGGGCCTAAAGAGGCTCCAGGAGAGCTGGAGAGGGACTGGGGCCAAGGCATGGAAGGACAGGACACAGGGAATGGCTTCCCACTGCCAGAGGGCAGGGATGGATGGGATATTGAGAAGGAATTCCCAGCTGGGAGGGTGGGGAGGGGCTGGACTAGAATTCCCAGAGCAGCTGTGGCTGCCCCTGGATCCCTGGAAGGTCCAGGGCCAGGCTGGATGGCACTTGGAGCAGCCTGGGATAGTGGAAGGTGTCCCTGCCCATGGCAGGGGGTGGAATGGAATGAACTTTAAGGTCCCTTCCCACCCAAACCATTCCATGATTCCCTGACTTGTTGAAATATCCTCCAGCTGAATATTTTTGAATAGTTCCATATTACAGCAATGTCAACTTTTTGCAACTAAAACTCTCTTCCTGCATGTGTAGGAGCCAGAAGTGGAGCTGGTTGAGGATCAAAATCATGGTACGTTTGCTTTTATGTATATTTATACAGATCTAGAAGCAACCCCTGGGTTTAAACCAAATGCTCAACACTTAAAGTGCTGAACAGAGCAGTAAAATCCCTCCTGAGGGAAGGCGTTTGCAACGTTTGCAGGAAAACCAACTTATTTACCCAGGCTTGTTTTCCTGTGCAGCTGGATTTACATCTGTGGTAAGGACACATTTTCTATGCATCCTCAATGTCAGCAGGATTTAAAATTCTGCATGAAGCTCATAAATTAACATTTCTTCAAGTGTCAGGTACAGCTTGTCAGCTCCGAGATACGAGGTTGGATTTAAAAACAAGTTCTAGAAAAGCCTGGGAGAAAAAAGGTCAAATAACAAATACATTGTGTGTCAGTGTTTAAAATACAAAATAAAATGCTGTTGTTCTAAAATTCGTCTGCATTAAAAAGAACAGTTGACTTTATTTTATTGTATGAATGTTTAAAACTGTTACGTGTCCATCAATGCTTAGAAAAATCATGGTTTTTATACAGGTGGGCTGGTGAAAAGAATCCTAGAAACAAAGAAGGATTATGAGGCATCACAGAAATCATCACAGACCACAGACCGGGTGAGGTGGGAATGGTCTTCAAAGAACTGGGAGATGAGATGTTGCAATTGTGACCTTTTTCTTTAAATGTGCTTTAAGTGTGTTTTATTCCATCTGTGATCAAGCTTTTCTCTGTCATGTTGTGCTTATGTAGTTTTTTCCACAGTTAAGAAGGGGAGGGTAGGTTTTGGTTTTGGTGGGTTTTGTAGGGTTTTTTTTTTGTTTTTTTATCACTTAGCAAGTGTGTGGGAAGGATCTAGCAGTGATCACAAACTAGAAGCAAAAGCTTGAGCACCCTGCATTTGAGTGTCTTCCTGTTGCAACAGAGAGCTCTGGCTTTGTCTGCCGTTCAGAGCTCCTGGTATGAGAGGCAGCAAAGGCACTGAGATGGACTCTCTCATGCCATGGAAAGTTTCTAAATCCATTTTGATGTGCTGGGGAGAAGCACTGAGGCACTGCAGTGATAAAAGTCTCATAAAATTAGACAAGTACGTGATGTTTGGGGGAGGTGAATGCATTCTAGGAGCTCTTATATCTTCCAATCACATTTATTTTAATCTTAATTCAGTATTGTAGGTTTTTCCTACGTGTATGTTTTTCAGGAATGGTCTGCAGTGTTTGGTCTGTCAGCTGTTCACAGGGCTCTGTGAAATCAGTGGTCATTCCTGAAGACTCTTGAAGCAGACTCCTGTCTGCCTCTTTTGGTTTTCCTTTCTTTTCTTTTTTTTCCAGCACATTGAGAAAGTTGGGATGGCAGATGTGATTCTTGTGGGAATATCCTCCTTTCTGGAGTTTGGGATTGGCAGAGATTCATGCCTGGAAGAAAATTCTTTTAGTGTATTGCAAGGGCTGGGGTTGATAAGCTCAGGCAGGGTTAGATGGGATATTGGGAAGGAATTCTGCCCTGTGAGGGTGCCCTGGCACAGGGTGCCCAGAGCAGCTGGGGCTGTCCCTGGGTCCCTGGCAGTGCCCAAGGCCAGGTTGGACACTGTCCTGCTGGGAGCAGCCTGGGACAGTGGAAGGTGTCCCTGCCATGGCAGGGGGTGTGATGGATGCACTTTAAGATCTCTCCCAGCCTAAATTCCTCTGGGATAATTCTACAACTGAAGAAAGCAAACCCTTCTAGAAAGAGGAGAACACCTTTAGATCGTTGCCCATAATCTGTTAGGAGCTGTTGTAGCTTTACCCAACTTGCTGAATTGCATCAGTTTGTTAGAAATGTGCTTCTTGTGGTGTCTGTGGTCTCTCAAACATCTCTGGCTGCTTGGCATGAGTTTATCCAATGGGTAGATGTGCCTGCTTGGTGAAATTCTGCCTTTGGAGAATTGTTTGGAGGCAAAGAAGGGTTCCAGGTTGATTCTGCTGTTTCTGCAGCAGCTCCAAAGCTCATTCCTGAGCTGGCACTTGAGCCCAAGCCATGCAGCTGTCCCTGTTCCCAGGTTTGTAACTAGATGGTGCTGTTGGATCATCAGTTCCCAGCTCAGTTTGGGAAGAGCATTAGGAATTCATTAATGCTGTCTCTCAGCACTCCCTCACCGTGGGCTGCCCTGTTTGGTGGTGTGTCCTGTCCAATACTGGGCATGGAACACGATAATGGGGGAGGATTTACACAATCACATGGATTTCAAGCTCAGGAAGCTTCCTCTGGTGTCTGTGCTAAATGTTTTGGTTGGCTTTTTTTCCTACTGCGAGTAACAAAGTAAAACGGTCCCTTTTTAACCCCTTAAATATTTTTAAATGGCCAATTGTGACCCTCTACAATCACTGTTAGTCCCCTCGCTGGTTTTCAGCCCCTGAAACATTCATTCAGCACTTGTTTGGCTTTTGTTGCACTTTTGAAGCCCTGCTCTGCGTTAGCTGTGCCGAGAATAGACACCTAATTCTGGAAAAAAACCTGCTGACTTCTAGTCCATCCCGTGGAAACCTGCCCAAATTCCTGGAATACCATGGGATTGCCTGGCCAAGCAGCTGCTTGCTACTGCAGGAGACTCCTCTGCTGCTCCTGCTTTTCAGAGCATGGTGTGGAAGTGGTTGGGATCCAGAGAGGAGTCTAGCTCTCCTGAAATTGTGATCCACAGAGAAGTGTGGTTTTCCTGGAATTGTGATCCAGAGAGGAGTGTGATTTTCCTGAAATTGTAATCCAGGCAGGAGTCTAGTTCTGGAATTGTGATCCAGAGGGAAATGGGATTTTCCTAAAATCCTGATCCAGAAAGGAGTGTAGTTCTCCTGAAATTGTGATCCAGAGAGGGGTGTGGTTCTCCTGAAATTGTGATCCACAGATAGCTGTGGTATTCCTGACAGCAGAGTTGATTAGAAAAGATGATTAAAAATGCTTGGAGTGTGTGACAGGTACTTAACAGTTCAGAAAACATGAGCTAGAGACACAGTTGAATCCTGGGAAATGATTTTAGAGAAGGAGTTGCTTTGACAGTAAAAGTAAAAAAACCCAAATTTCCAACGTGGAAGCATTTCTCTGGAAATGCTTCTCTGTCTATTTGATTTTTTTTCAATCAAATTCTCCAGAAGTATCTTCTGCATCAGGATGCAACTGTATTCCAAACTGTGTTGTGCATCACAGAGTAAAATTAGGGGTACTGTTATAATTTTGGAGCATGGTATCAAAAAATTCAGGGAATACTTGAAAGAAAACTTGCTTTGGGAAATTCCATCTTCCCTCTATCTGTCACTAGAATGTTCATCTTCCCTCATTTTATTAAACATCCGAAAGAAATGAAATGTTTTCCCACTTCTATTCATTAGTCTTTAGAGCCTTGATCTTCTGCCAGTTGGGAAAATGAAGAGGGGAAAAAATAGCAGGCTAAGTGCTGGAACTTTTGGTTAATACATTATTAACTCCAGCATTCAGAAAAAAAAATGATCAATGGATCCACCTGATTTAGGGGGGATTAATCAGCCAGAAATTAGGTGAAGTTGGTGGATTAATGCTTAATCCAAATGTAACGCTGGTGTCCTCTCAGGGATGTTTCACACCTTCCAGCTGCTGATGCCTGAGGAACATTTATTTATGTTAAAAACATTCCTCCAAAACCCTTTCTGTGCTGTGTTTCCCAAACATGCGTTTGCTTTTTAAGGAGTTTTAATAAAGGAAAAAAGGGAGAAGGAAAGAAAACTGGGACTTTCATCATCTAGGTTTTGCATGTGCAGAAACTTAAAATAATATACACAATCTTGAGGTCAAACAAAGGGGTCACTCTGGAAATACACAAGATTTTTGCTGCCCTGATTAGCTGTGTTTAGCCTAACAAATTCCTAAAAAAACTTCCTAAATGTATTTGTTTAGAATCTAAGCCTCTAATGTCAACCAGAGAAAGAAACAGATGTTCCATTTTGTATTCCACTTCATTTATTTGATGTGTGGAAAAACGTAGGCAGGTTATTAAATAGCTGAAGCAAGTGGGCTAACAGAATTCCCATCTTTGCACTACCAAAAGGGTTTCAGAAAAGCAGCAGCTTGGAGGCTTCTGGGAGGAACAAGTGGTATTGAATAGCTCAGCACCTGGGCAATATTAACTTGAATTACCAGTGTGGTACATTGTGCACTTCAGAGCTTAGGACAGATCTAATCAGTGCTGATTCTGTTTGTTTGAAGAGCTGCAGGTCACTGATTCTTACGTTAATCCATCAGCTGCACATCTGGGTGTGCCCTCCAGTCTGTGCAATGAATATGCTGTGTTCAGCAGCTGGAGTCAGAAATGCCAGCATTTAGGTATTTGGAGGAGGCTTCTGTTTCTCACCACAGCATCCTGCCAGCTTGGTGTGTCCTCAGGAATGCTGACAGGGAAATGGAGGAGTTACCCATGGGAGGGTTTTCACCTCTATCACATCTCTATTGATGGGGATGTGATGCTAATTCAGCAGGAAATCTCTGGTGCAAGCACACAGTTCCTCCAAAACAGGGTTTTTAACCCAGCAGCTGAGCAGCACAGGAGCTCAGATTGAGGGAGTGTGTGCTCCAGGATCCTTACATTGCTCCCAGCTCTCAAAGAACAAAAATGTGGCCCCCAAGCAGTTGTGCTGCAAGCTGTGAACACAGGAACAGGGCTCTGGCCACTCCTTTGTGCCCCAAACTATGGAATTCCTGCCCTGTGGGTGCACTATAAATCCAAATGAGACAGCAGATGGATCTGTGGACACAAAGGATGTGTAAAAGTGGTGAGGCAGCTGAGGTTCCCCCCTGGAAAGGGTGCAGTGTGAAAAGGACACAGGACAGGGTCTGTTGCATCTTTCAAGGTGCTGGGGCACAGCCTGGGGGGAGGGAGGTTGTTTAATACAAGGAGCGTGTTTATTCCAAGTCCTTTTTCACCAGGAAAGGGTGCTCTTTCAGCAGGAAGAGGTTCTGGACACAGGGAGTGTGAGGAGAGAGGGAAGGCTGGGCAGAACTGGCACCAGTGTGGCATCGTGGGTAAATTAATATGCACTGCTGGCACTAATTTCAGCTGGAATTATCTCCTGGCTTGTCTCCTCCAGCTCAGGATTCACAAGGCTGGAGCCCCTCTGCTCTGGAGCCAGGCTGGCAGAGCTGGAGGTGCTCACCTGGAGAAGAGAAGGCTCCAGGGAGAGTTCAGAGCCCCTTGCAGGGCCTAGAGGGGCTTCAGGAGAGCTGGAGAGGGACTGAGGACAAGGCACGGAGGGACAGGACACAGGGAATGGCTTCCACTGCCAGAGGGCAGGGTTGGATGGGATATTGGGAAGGAATTGTTCCCTGGGAGGGTGGGCAGGCCCTGGCACAGGGTGTCCAGAGCAGCTGTGGCTGCCCCTGCATCCCTGGAAGTGCCCAAGGCCAGGTTGGACGGGGTTGGAGCAGCCTGGGATGGTGGAGGTGTCCCTGCCCATGGCAGGGGGTGGAATGGGATGGGCTTTGAGGTCCCTTCCAAGTCGGACCATTCCACGATTCCATAATTTTGCTTTGTGTGCTGAGTACTGCCCAAAATATAGGAGATTTTGGTAACTGCCTTCTCCCCAGGAAAGCAGGGTGGATGTTCATCCACAGGTGAAAAGTCCAGCTCTTTTTGGAAGGATCGAGTATGAACTTCAATTAATGTGGAAAACCACTATGCTCCAAAAAAAAGAGACTGAAAAAACTCTCTTGAAAGAGCCATTCTTTTATTTTCTTGTGGAGCCTTCCAGCTCAGGAGCAGGTCAGACTGGCTCTGGAAGTGCAGTGATAAAGAACATTGTGTCTCCAACTCCTTGGCCTGTGCCTGAACCCCGTACCTGGCATCAGCAGAAAAAGCATCCTGTTCATTGAAATGCTTTAACATTTACTGTTTCCCCCCTGGTTCTGTGAAAGAGTTTCTTATAGGGATCCCTCGTGGATAGTTACAATCTACTTAAAACACAGACTCTGTAAAAACCAGGAAAAGAAAACACCCTTTATGATCAAAAAATATATTTTATACAATAAAAAAGCACCCCACCTTGTTGGTTTTGCACTGGATATATCCCAGTTACTTGTCCAAAATGAAGTTTCTGCGCAGTCCTGTAGAAAGAGGTGGGGGGAAATGGTGGAGCTCAATAAAACTGTGATTACTTGGGTCTGTTTTCCTAGTGGGACATAATAATAGGGTTAAAAGGGGCTGTAGAAACTATTGAAATGCTTGATGGATGCTTGTACTAATTTGATTGATATTTAAAAACCTGTTAATTAAAAAAAAAAGAAACAGAGGGGAAGGCGTATAAAAGTAAGCAAATGCTGTTTCTTGAAATTCTGGTGGCTTCTGGAGCCTTGTTGATAATTTCCACCTTCTTGATTAAAAAAGAAAATTCCTGCTTTCAGATTTCTCAGGTTGCTGCACCCGAGTCCACCTTGTGTTCTGCTCACATTGAGGTAATGGGAAAAGCAGCCTTTTTTCCAGGAATCCAAAGTAAACATTTATCTTGGTGCCTTACGAAAAACACGAAGGAAAGGAAACGTGTTGGGCCTACAGAAGTGATCCAGCCTTTTACACAGGGATAATTTATTGATTCTGGGGCTGTTGTGAAAGGGGACCTGGTTGAGATGTAGGGCCTAATGAAAAAGCCTGGAACAATTCGGATTCTGGCGTTTTTCTCCCAGCTGAAAATCTCCTGTTACGCGTTTGTGCAGAGTGAGCAAAGGTGGCACCCGGGGCTTGTACCGCCCACGTCGCTGGCTGCAGGAAACCATCTGCCATCATTCCAGAGCTTTTAACCCATAGCTGGAAGTGTGGAGCTGGGAACAGCCACTAATGGATTTCTCTTCCTTAATTATTTAAAATCAGCACGAGTTGGCAAAGCTTGAGAGTGTCACAGTGATAATTCTGAGCCTTGAGCTGCAGGATGTGGAATTGTGGCTGTCTCATCCCTGGAATGTCCAAGGCCAGCTTGGATGGGCTTGGGGCAACCTGGGATAGTGGAAGATGTCCCTGCCCATGGCATGACTCGGAACTGGATGGGCTGTGAGGCTCCTTCCCACCCAAACCACTCTGGGATTCTGGGATCATTAGCACAGGTGCTAATGAGACAAGGAAAGAATGGATGGTGGTTTTCAAGGCTGAGCTGCTGTGCCTTCTGCTTGGGAAATCTTTCTTGGGAGGAAATTTTTCTTGGATTTTTCTTGAAACTTGTGAGTTCTTATACCACTTCAATATTGTATATGTTTCAAAGACACAAATTTTTAATTTTTTTTGGTTTTATTTTAAACAAACCTATTGATTCACCTGTATGAATAATATTTACTAGATTTTTATTTCAAATAGTATTTAATAGATTTTTTAGTGGCATTACGTTTCAGTTCTTGCAGTGATAATCCTGTAATTCCGTGACTGACTTTGGATGGCATAATACTTTCTCCTTTTAATCTCACTTTTGAAATATTCAACTGCATAAAGAACATGCTGGAGTTACAGGGACACTGGAATTAATTTTCAGTATTTACTAATACCCTTTAAGAAACTAATTAATGAAAAATATTCAAAGTTTTTTTGTTTCACTTGAGCTTTTCAAGCAGCTGTGTATTTTAGCCTGGAATACTTCAAATTGTGAGCTGGACCTTTGTTTACAGACCTGTGTAGATCTGTGTATAGATATTCTGTATCGAAAACATACAATTCTGGTTTGCTTCTTTACTGAATTGTGGGATTTTAATTTCTATTTTATTTTTTATTTTGATCCTATACTTCCCTGTGGAGGCAAGTGGGACTGCTTGGTCTGTCTCAGTATCGGAGAGGTTGTGGCAGCATTACAAGGATGAGAAATAGAATCGCAGAATCATTTGGGTTGGCAAAGATCTCCAAGGCCATCCAGTCCAAGCTGTGACTGATGCCCACGTTGTCACTGACAAGCCTAGAGCACTGAGTGCCACATCCAGGTGTTTCCTGAACACCTCCAGGGATGGGGACTCCGCACCACCCTGGGCATCACCCTTCCCATGGTGAAATTCCTGCTGGTGCCCACCCTGAGCCTGCCCTGGCCCAGCCTGAGGCCATTTCCTCTCCTCCTGTCCCTGTTCCCTGGAGCAGAGCCTGACCCCCCGGCTGTCCCCTCCTGTCAGGAGCTGTGCAGAGCCACAAGGTCCCCCTGAGCCTCCTTTTCTCCAGGCTGAGCCCCTTCCCTGCCCCCTCAGCCCCTCCCAGCTCAGTTCCCTGCCCTTGACATGCTCCAGCCTCTCCCGGTGTCCCTCTGGCTGGAGGGGCCTCAGCAGGGCCAGCACCGGGGGACAATCCCTGCCTGGGGCTCTGGCACAGCCCGGGGGCCATCGGCCTCCTGCCCACCTGGGCTCGTCTTCAGCCCTGTCACCAACACTGCCAGGGCCTTTTCCAGCTTCCCGCTGCTCTTCCCTGTGCCTGCAGTGTCCCGTGGGGTTGTTGTGACCCAGGGCAGGACCTGGCCCTTGGCCCCATGGATCCCTCTGCGGAGCCTTCCTCCCCTCCAACACATCCCACCAACTCCGTGTCTGCAGCTTCCATCCCCTCATCCAGATCCTTGATAAAGATAAAAATATTAGACAGGACTGGGCTCAGTACCGAGCCCTGGGGAACCCCACTGGTGACCAGTCCCAGCTGGACATGGCCCCATTCCCCACCCCTCTCTGGGCCAGGCCATCAGCCAGATTTTATCCCTTGAGGAGTGCACTTACCAAGCCATGGACTGCCAGCTTTTCCAGCAGAATGCCTTGGGAAACATCCCAAAACTTGGCATTTGGAAAATAGCAATGAAGCAAGTTTTCACACAACAACCAAGATAATGGACTGGCTGAGTCTTCTCCCTTCTGAGAGAGCTGGATGTAAAATAAATTCCTTATTTTTTGGCTGAGCCTTCAGATAATGGATGGGAGGAGAGTGGTGAGGGTTTGGAGCACTTAGGAGAGGAAAAGCAAGAGAATGGGATGTCTTCCTGGGAAGCTGTTGGACCTGATACAACTCTTCTGATGGACTGGAGGGGCTTGTCTGCACAATTCACTTGCCAGCCCCATGTGGAAAATGCAATGCTGTGGATTGAGCCTTCCCTCTGGCTTTGGTGGAGCACAGAGTAGGAAAAGGAGTAGAAAAAGAGTCAGGATAGAGTGAGAAGGGTTTGAAATGCTGTGAGATTGCAGCTCTTCCATCCTAGTGGACAGCAAAGGCATGGATGGTTCCAGAAAAGCCCTGAATCCTGTGGCTGGTGTGGTGTAATGGAACACCTGCTGCTGTGAGCGAGGCACGGCCTGAAACAGGAGGGAGCTCGGGGCCGTGTTGTTTTTAACAGCACAGCCAGCTCCTGTGAGGTGATTTCAGCAGCGAAGGGCTCAGCTGCAGCAGTGTTTGTCACCTCAGCCCAGCTCCTAATGGAACCATGCAAACAGGAACGTCATTAAAGTCAGAAATGCAGCGTTCCCTGCTCCGTGTGTGTGGCAGAGCATGGGCAGCAGCCCTGAGCAAGGCTCAGCCTTCAGCTCTTCGGTAAAGTGTTCTCCTCCAACACATCTCTCTGTGTCCCCGGTCCTCCAGCCAGCCCAGGGCTGCTGAAGTGTGCTTGGCAGGAGGCCCTGCAGCCTCCAAAAAGCCAGCTGAGCAAACAGCCCCAGCTCACACAGGAAGCCAGGCAGTTGGGAGGAGGGCAGGAGGGGACAGCGGGGCGGTTCCCCGTCCCAGCACTGCCACCTCTGTGTTTAGTAGGAATTGTGCCTAGGAATTGGCTCACCCTCTGCTTGGGGTGGCAGGGAAAGGCCTTTCTAGTTGTTTGGCATATAATAAACCAACATAATTACTTTAAATAAACTCTACTTCAAGCTCTGTGTGTCTGCCTTTGGGGATTTGACCTGCAGGAGTGTTGGAAAGAAAGAAAAACGAGGTTGTTTTTTCTTCATGGAGGAGAAAATCCCAGTGGGTTTTCCTTAATGGCTTTGCTGGAATAAGATTATTCCAGTGTATTACCAGTGTGGCATCACTCTGCTCTTTTTACAGCATCCTTTCGTTCCTGCTGGCTTTGCCACTGGAGCAAACTCTGAATTTGATTTGCAGTGGGCTGAGAGGCCTCAGGGGCTGCACCACGGAGACTCTTCTGGCTGCATATGAGGGAAGTAGCACAAGCCCAAATTCCTTTGGAGTAGTGGGGTTTATGGAGGCCACACTTGCAGCCTGTATGGTTTTACAGCTGCGAACAGGAGTGCAAGGCAGGGAGGTACTATGGCTGTTTTAGCTCTGAAGTGCTGTTGTTAGGAGCAGCATTAGGAGCTGGAAATGCAGATATGGACAGTGGAGGGAGAGAAGCATCTTCAAGGGGCTGATGCAGAGAACTCAAGAGGAGGCTGTGCCCTGGAGCTCCCACACAGCAGCACAACTTGATGCTGTTTTCAAAGCTTGCCCAGAAAGGTGTGGCCCATCCCAGCCAGGATGGACACGGCTTGGAGCAACCTGGGATAGTGAAAGGTGTCTCTGTCTGTGGCAGGGGGTGGGATGGGATGAGCTTTAACAACCCAACCCAAACAATTCTGTGATTCCACGATTCTTCTCTTCCATTTCAAACTGTTATAAACACTTCTCCAGCTCCTTCCCTGTTTGCAGGCTCCAAACATCCTTCATTCAGCCTGCAGCAACAGTCTTCCCTAATTCTGATGCTTCCCCTGTTTGTCCCTTCTGTTAGGAGAAGCCAATTGTCTCAGAAGCATCCAGGAAGAGGGAGAGAGGCTTGGTAGCCAAAGAAATCGAGAAGTTCCAGGGGTCCATTCAGACTGTGTGCCAGCACGTCTTCAGGCTGGGCAGGATGGTGGATTACATCCAGGAGGACATGGATACCATGAGGAACGAGCTGCTGATGTGGCGCCAGGAGAACAGGGAGCACGCAGAGGCTTTGCAGCGGGAACAGAGGTGAGTGGGGCCAGGGGCAGCTGGGCTTGTCTCTTGAGACAAGTTTTAGGGGCTCTTAAAACTTACAAACAATGTAAATATTGAGCCTAGAACAGGAGTGCATCCCTGCTCTTTGTGCCATGGATTAATCATGTTCTGATGTAAATGACAGTTGTTGAAACAGCTTCTTTGGCCTTACTTGTGTCACACCAGAACATGAACCCATCAGAGCACCCAGGGATAGTGGAAGGTGTCCCGGCCCATGGCGGGGGCTGGGACTGGGACTGGGTGGGCTTTAAAGTCGCTTCCAACCCAAACCATCCTTGGATTCTGTGATTCCAGTGAATACTTTGCAGACTTTCAGGTATTGAAATGTATTTTCTTAGAGGATTAAATAACCTGAAGCAGCTTGAAAGTTTCAACAACATCACATTCCTTGTGTCTCTTCCAGCATCACAGACAGCATGCTGGAACCACTAAAAGCTGAGCTGGCTGAACTGGAGCAGCTGATTAAAGACCAGCAAGACAAGATCTGTGCTGTAAAAGCAAATACTTTAAGGAATGATGAAAAAATCCAGAGGATGATTCTTAGCATAAATATGTCTTCAAGAAGGTGAAGAAGAGGGAAAAGAAATTAAAGAGACTTAGGACTCACTGACTGACATTGCTACCAAAAAAACCAAATCCCAAATAGCAGACATGCCTTGTTCGGGTACAGAATGTTTAGGGACCAGAACCCTAAAAATGTTATAAAAAACTCTGTTATTGCATTGATTTTTAGATGTTGATATTATGCAGGATAAAATGATATTCATTTGAATGCTAAAGTTGCAGAGCTATTAAAAGAACTTGTTTGTTTAACTGTGAGCTGCTGTTTCTCACTTCCATAGCCCCCTTTCCCTCCCTGGCCATGTCTCCTTTCCTCTCCTTATTTCCCCTGAATTCCCTCTGAACACAGTGTCCTGATAAGTGGGTATTAAAGAATTCTTTTTCCCCCTTAAATGTTCCAAACTTCTCCAAGTCAGAAGGTTCCTGAATCCTGTTCAGAACTATCAGGAATCTGATTAGACCAAGTGAAGATGCAGTTTGAGCATCACTACGTAAGGGAGCTGAAGTGTTTTTTCTGCACAAGTGTTAATTCCATTTTTATTGCATATGTTCATTTGTAAAGGATTAATTTAAGTACCTGTTTCCTCCCCAATGCATGTCCTTGTAGCTTTTTCTACGGGAATAATTCCACTGATTTTTCTTTAGTGAACTGCAGATGTCTGGAGTATTTTCCTAATGACCCCGGGAGTGTTCTGCCCATGAGAGTCAAGCATTAGTGATTCCTAAATCTGCAAAGAGTATTAGTGCAGACACAACTGTATGACTCCGTGCTGGGTGCAGAGGCTTTAGTCCCCTACAAGGCTGTTGCCAAGGATTTTATGGTGTTGTTCGGGCTGTGGATGAAGTGTTAGTGGCCTTGTTTTTCCTTCTTTGATTGGTGTATCTATGTTTTTTCGGGTTGTTTTCTTTTTTTTTCCTTTGTGGTTTCTTTATCTGGTGTCTGGACCTTAAAATCTACCAAATGATCATCATCATAATGTGAGTGTTTAGGGTGTTAAATACAGACATTTGGAAGGTGGGAGGCTTTGCTCTGTGGGGTTTTGGAGGGAGTGGAGAAGTATTTGGGGGCTTGGGAAGAAAGAGGAGGAAATTTTTGAGCTCTTATAACAACTGCCTGTGACACTGAGCTCTTTGTGTTTGCATGGGCCTTGTCCAATAGCTCAACTGCATCCTGGGTCTCAGCATGTGAAGGAAAAGGGGTTCAAGATGTCCAGAAGCACCCCCAGAACTGCTGGGGAAAGCCTGTGTGGTCACTTTCCCTTTTAAACACTCGGATCGTACAGTACGGGGTTTACTGGGATTGCTCAGACTCTTGCCCCATGAGCTTCCCACTACTCTAAGCCACCCCTAAAGAGCATTTGTCACCTGTCTCCCAGCCTTTGTCACCCCATGTTCCCCTCCCACAGCCTCTGCATCCATAAAATCCAGCATGGTGCTGCTGGAGCCTGGGATAGGCAGGAAAGCAGTGGGAGCACCAGCAGGTGTTCTTCAAAGACGTGGAGGGATTTCTGGGTTAAACAGGATTTCAATCATGATTTTTCCTTTCCCTCAGCTGCCCCATGAAGTTCTCTTCAGTGTCCCTGCTGGTGGGCTCTGGGTGGTCTTTTCCTGGTGACACGACCCCTGTGTCCCTCGGTCCTTGTCTCAGGGTGGGGAGGTTGGGCTCAGAGGCCTGGGAGAGCTCAGGGATGACCTTTTACATCTTATGTACCCATTTTCTTCTGCTTGCTGACCAAATACCGCTTCAAACAAAAACTGGTTGGTATTAAGGTGTAACAGCATTTTAACACCACACAGCGTTAGCTCTTTGGATTTGTTCTGTGTTGCAGGCATGGAACAAAGCAGGTTGAGGAGGCAGCACCAAAAAAAGCCAAGCAGCTGTGCCTGGAGGAGGGGCTGGGGATGTGTGTGCACAGCCAGGGCCCGGGAGTTGTGTTTCAGCCTGTGGGTGGTTCATTAGCAAAGGAAACTTTGCCGGAGCGGTGGTTTGGGATCGAAAGCCCTTCTCATTGTCAGCCCCGGCGGCGCTAATGGAGCCTGGCAGTTCTGGGAAGCGGGATTTGTGTTTCACGACGTGCCTGACATTCCTCTGCTTGCGGGCCGGGAATGTTCTCGGCTGGGAAGGTGCAGCTGTGGCAGGATCCCAAAGCGCCGGGCTGGGCAGGGAGGGACAGCGCGGGGGGCCCGGAGGAGTCGGGGACAGGGGGGCTGGAAGGAAGGGGACAGCGGCTGAGCTCAGACGGATGGGAGCGCTCCGGTGTGGGAGGCAGGCTGTTCCCGAGGCTGGAATGGCAGAGGTTGCATTTTGTGCTCAGGAGTGCAAGGGAAGGAACGGCTGGAGGGCTGAGGGGTGTGGCGTGGGATTTGGGTGGAATTCAGGTACAAGAGGGTCCAGCTGGGGTTGTGAGGGACCCGCTGCTCCTCAGCAGAGACACCAGTGCCCGGTGTCCCCAGTCCAGCTGCCCTGATCATCTGAGCTGCTTCCACATCCAGCTGATTTCTTGAGCACCAGGACCTGAGGGAGCGGCTGGAGCTGTGTCAGGGCAGGCTCAGGGATATCAGGAAAAGATTCTTCTCCCATCAAGTGGTACTGGGCTAGCTCTGGAAACTCTGGAGCCACGCCAGGAGCGGGGAACTGCCTCGGTATTTACCCAGATCTGCCTGGGCATTTACCAGAGGTAGAACCTTCAGAGCCACTTGCTCTACGGTGCCGGACACAAGCCACAACAGGGACCAGACAGGGCAGAGAGAAGGAGCCTCTCCTTCTTGGCGTTCCACAAAGAAGGATTTGTGATGCAAAGAGCAGGGCTAAAAGCACCTGGCTGTATTGTGCAAGAGGTTTTGTACAGATACGAGTCAGGAGGTGGATACAAACAGCGCACCAAGAGGGAATCCTCAGGAGAGGAGTGAGGGGATCACATCCAGTGTCTGGGGCCAGTTGGGGCAGGAGGGTGGAGAGGATGGGGCACATGGGCCCACGGGGCTTCCAGGAGTAGGGAATTCCAAAGAGATGCTGCAGACAGGGATTGGCCCTAGGTTTAAGTGGCACAGAAGGTTCAGGAATCAAGGGCTGGGTTGCCTTGACAGGCAGGGAAAGAGCTGGAACAAAGCGCAGGGAATGGCATGAGGGACAGCTTTGAGGGAGGGCAAAACCCAGGGGTAAACCAACTCGGGGAGAACATGGGGCACAACAGGAGGAGCCATCTAACAAGGAATCAATGAAATAAATTCAAACCACAACACTCCCAGAGGGTGCAGGGGCCCTGACCAGGCTCCCTCAGGGCATGGGCACCGCCCTGAGGCTGCCAGAGCCCAAGGAGCTCTCAGGGTGGGATTGCTGGGCTGTCTGTGCAGGGCTTGGATCAATGATCCTTGGGGGTCCTTTCAACTTTGGACACCCTCACCCCCAAATGCCCACTCCCCTGGTGCCCTGCAGTGTCCCCAGCAGGGACAGAGCTCACTCTTGTTGTGGCCCTGCTGTGCAGTGAACATGTGTGGAGTGCTGTGGAAATGTGGTGGAAGCTTTGGCCTCAGAGGTGAATAGTGAGGCTTTGTCCGTGCCAGGCTGTGGCTCCAGGCTGTCTGCTGACCTGGGAAAAGAGTTCCACCTCTGCTCCCATCTCATTATCCTCACCAGCATTACTGGTTTTGCCTTGAAATCAGGAATTTCTGATGTGTGGAACATCCCATCTCCAACTCAGCCGTGATGTCCCCGAGTCCAGTCTGGGCTTCTCACTTCCTTGAGCTGGTGCCTGCTCTTGCTGGTCTTGCTCCAAAAGTTTTGCTTGAAGTATGAAATATTCCAGTGATTTTTTTTTTCAATGTTTTTTTCCCCAATGCACCTTGGATCCATCCACTGGGGAAGCAACCACCACAGACTGATGGCATAGGAGAGAAAGCAGGACTGTGGCTGTGTAGAAGTATTGCAAGGATTTTTGGGAATGTGTCCTTCTCCAGCAAGAGAACCCAAAGGGATGGGTTGGCAATAAGACTTCACTTATCTAAAATGGCTGGACCCTGCCTCGGGTGAATTTGTGCTCTTCCCTCCTCCCAGATTTACCCTTGTGGAGGTGAGCCTGTCTAGCACAAAGGATGGATTTGAGATCTGCCAGCCATGGAGTCCCCTTCAGTTCCTGGAAAGCCCCAGGCATCTCCCCACAGCTCCCTGGAAAACTCCCTGCAACACCTTGACCCCTCTCTTCCGTGCCCTGTTTTGTGAAAAAAACATGGCAAAATAACATTTCCATTTTCCAGGGAGAAATTTTATTAAAAGGAATGAAGAGTTATGGTTTATAGTTCAATTTAACATGATGAAAAAAGAATTAGCTCCCACCCTCTCCTATGCAAAACCCACGAGCTGATGGCAGCCACAGGAGGGAAACGCTTCTCAGGAGAAAAGGGAGAGGAATTCTCTCCCAGATTTATGACTTGTGAGGCAGAGGCTGCCCGGGTCAGCCTTGTTTTATGCCCTGCTGGCTCCCACAGGCTTGGCTTTGTTGTGTGCCCAGGAGTGGGCAGGGAATGGATGGGTTTGGCTGCTTTTTCAGGTCACTCCTGCTCAGGTGCTGGCTGGGTCACTGAGGCTCCTGGCTGGGTGTGTTCAGGTCAGTGGGGAACATGCAAGGTGGCCTTTGCCCTCACAGCTTTCTTCCCCTTTGGGGCATTTTTTTGCTAGAGAGGAGCATCAGGCAGAAGGCAATGGGCTCACTCTGCCCTGTGCAGGATCAGGCAGAGAAGGAAAAGGAGAGACTATTAAAATACCTGAAATAACAGATGCAGCCCAAATACAGACACAAACAGAAGGAATTTCCTTTCCTGGGGTAAAACAGCAGATCCTGCATGGCCAGGGCACAGCAGGACCTGTCTCCTCCCTGAGGAAGGATGGGTCCCTTTTCTTACACTCAACTGAAAATGTTTTCTTGTATCCAGGACAAAACTACAGCATCCCACCCCTATCCTACTCTCCTAAACAAACCTCAAAGTTCAGCAGAAAGCTTTGATAACAATCAGGGGACTAAGTGGGTCTAGAAGGAAAGGGATAGGAAGTGGGACAGGAGCTGCCCAGTGTCTCCTCATTCCTGGGCTGGCAGCCTAGCCACAGGGATTGCTTCCTGGCCAGCAGCTTTCCCTGGGATTAGCTCGGTGGCAAGAGGTGCTTCATTTCTCCCGTGCTTTCAGATTTTCTCTGCTTTTTGGAACAGCATCTGCTGCTGCTGGAGCCCAAGTGTCAGCTGAGCTTGCGAGGAGCTGGGGATCCACATCTGGGAAGGAGAAGCTGTTTGGATAAGCAGCAGTTGCTCCAAGCTGGAGGTTCCAAGCTGCTCTGGCTTTAACCTCGGGAGGGAGAAAGGAAGTTTTCCTGTCCAATTCAAATAAATCTGAGCAGAACTTCCAGTGCACATTACAGGACTGGAAACTGGAGTGAACCTGAGCTGGGGCCTGGGTCAGCATCGGGGCTGGAGGCAGGAGGGGACAGCAATGACCACAGGTGACACTGATGGCCAGAACACAGAGACCTGGGCTTTCATGGAATCCCAGAGGGATTTGGGCTGGAAGGAGCCTTAAAGATCATGCCATTCAACCCCCTGCCATGGGCACAGACACCTTCCACTATCCCAGGCTGCTCCAAGCCCCATCCAGCCTGACCTGGAACACTTCCAGGGATCCAGGTGCAGCCACAGCTTCTCTGGGCACCCTGTGCCAGCAGCTTTGTCTCCTCACATCCTGCAAAAGGCAGACTAACAGCCCTTAACCATTTGCACAATACTGTTTAATTTTATTTTACTTTATTTTTACTGGAGAAGTGGCAGTGGGAAGAGAAAGAGCCTGAGATGCTCCTGTTCACAATACCCAAGTTACTCCCCTGACCATCTATGCTGGGTTATCCTTGGCTGCCCAGAATTCCAGGTGTCCACCAAAGCTGCTTGGTCATTCCCCTTCTCAACCAGACAGGAAAGAAAAATGTACGGAAAGGCTCAGGGGCTGGGATAAGGGCTGGGAGACATCACTCACCAATCACTGCCATGAGAAAAACAGATTCCACTTGCGGAAATTAGATTTATTTATGATCAATCCTATCAGAGTAGGGCAAGAAATAAATCCAAAACACCCCTCTCTTCATCCCAGCCTCAGCTTCACTCCTGGTGTTCTCTCCTCCCCTCCAATGGCACAGAGGGACAGAGAATGGGGACTGTGGTCAACTCATCACTCATGGGCTATGCTGCTGCTTCCTCCTCAGGGAAAGACTCCTCACTCTCTTCCCTGCTCCAGTGTGGGTCCCTTTATCCATGTGGTCAGTCCTGTAGGAACTGACCAGTGTGGATCCCTTTATCCATGGGGTCAGTCCTGTAGGAACTGACCAGTGTGGGTCCCTTTATCCATGGGGTCAGTCCTGTAGGAACTGACCAGTGTGGATCCCTTTATCCATGGGGTCAGTCCTGTAGGAACTGACCAGTGTGGATCCCTTTATCCATGGGGTCAGTCCTTCAGGAACTGCTCCAGTGTGGGTCCCTTTATCCATGGGGTCAGTCCTTCAGGAACTGACCAGTGTGGATCCCTTTATCCATGGGGTCAGTCCTGTAGGAACTGACCAGTGTGGATCCCTTTATCCATGGGGTCAGTCCTGTAGGAACTGACCAGTGTGGGTCCCTTTATCCATGGGGTCAGTCCTGTAGGAACTGACCAGTGTGGATCCCTTTATCCATGGGGTCAGTCCTGTAGGAACTGACCAGTGTGGATCCCTTTATCCATGGGGTCAGTCCTTCAGGAACTGCTCCAGTGTGGGTCCCTTTATCCATGGGGTCAGTCCTTCAGGAACTGACCAGTGTGGGTCCCTTTATCCATGGGGTCAGTCCTGTAGGAACTGACCAGTGTGGGTCCCTTTATCCATGGGGCCACACGTCCTGCCAGGACCCTGCTCCAGCACGAGTTTCCCATGGGGCCAGAGCTTCCCTTGGGCATCTCCCTGCTCTGGTGTGGGGTTTTCTTCCCTGACAGTTGCACATGGGAAGAGAAGCTTGCAAGGAGAGGCAGTGTTATTTAGGTTGGACAAAGATGCAGAGCCCTTTGTGGGACATGCAGCTTGATGTACAGGAAAGTTTATTTGTTGTAGTCTCACTAAGAGCTTTATTCCTGCTTCTTGTTGCTCCCGGGAGGGCAGCAACTGAATAAAGGTCCCAACAGTTTGGGTCCAAACACAAATGTCTTGAGAGGACAGCAAAGGGGTATCAGTTCTGGAGGGTGCTCCAAGAAACCTGGATTAAAAGTGAGAACAGAATAACAGAATGGTTTGGGTTGGGAGGGACCTTAAATATAATCTTGTGGCATGGGCAGGGGACACCTTCCACTGGACCGGGTTGCTCCAACCCCCATCCAGCCACGATCCTGAGCAGCCTGGATGGGGGAAGCTGCTGAGCAGAAGAGACAGTGGAGTTTCCAACAGGAGAGGGGTTTTCAGTGTGGAAACTGTTCTGTCCCCACACAAGGAAAAGGAGAGGAGAGCAAAAGAAAAGGTCTCAGCATTTCTGCAGGGGACCAGCCCTTCAGCCAGGCCACCCACCACAGCTTTGTGCTGCTCAGGTAACCTGGCAGGAAGGGAAGGTGTTCTCCTCCAGTTTCAGCACTCCCGAGCTCCCGGCATTCCAGTGAAGTGTCAAGAAAGGGCTGGTTTTATTTTTAATCCCACTGGGCCGGGAACTGGGAGCTCCCATTAATGGGATCCTTGTCTTTGGAGCAAGGTGGGAGCCCCAAGTCTCTCACACCCAAATACTGTTCTATTGTGCTGGCTCCAAACCTGCTGCTGTACCGCTGGGAGCCGTGTGGGAACGTGCTGAGAACATGGGATTTTGTTCCAGTGTCACTTTCTCAGGTGTCAGGGCTGTGTTTTCTCTCTGTATGGGACTGCCCAGAGCTCCGGGAGCATGGGACCACCCCAAGGCATCCAGCTGCTTCCAGAGGTGGGGAATGTGTGGGAGCTTCTACTGCTGCCCTCAGCATCAGGCTGGGCTTCATGGGGAGCACTGTGGGATGGCTCCCTGGGGGAGAAAAGTGTGCTTGGAGCCCCTCCAGAAGGCAGGAAGCCCTTCCCAAATTCATGAAGTGATGGCCATGCCAGTCCTGCAGGAAAGGAGCTGGTGGGCAGGAGGTTCTGTTGCACTTTTAGGGCAGTGTTGGTTTATGAAGGGCAGATTTTGGTGCCCAGTTAACCCTGAAATTTGCCAAGGGTTTGTGTGAAGTGTCTGATGCCCCACTGGGTTTCACTTCCAGCTCATTCCCAGGCCTGGCCAGAAAATTTGTCCTTATTTTGTGCAAGTGCAAAGTTTCCTTTGTTAAATCAAACAGTGAAGTATAGACTTGGCACAGCTTTACCTGTCCTAGGTGACCTCCACACCTTCACACACTCCCAGTGCTCCCAGAAGGGATTAATCAACATGGGCATGTGGTCAGCTCCCACTCCTTTTGATGGGATATTGGGAAAAATATCCAGCCTGGGCTGAACTATGTTTGCACTCCAAGAATCACAGAATCCCACACTGGCTGGGGTTAGAAGAGACCTGCCATGGGCAGGGACACCTTCCACTATCCCAGACTGCTCCAAGCCCTGTCCAACCTGGCCTTGGACAGTTCCTGGTTATGGATTTCCAAGCTGGAGCTGAGAGTGAAGGCTTGTGCTACCAGGAATTAATCAATGGAGGCAATTAGTGGGACAACTCTCCAGGGCAGGAGGAGGAAAATGCTGTTGGGGGCAGCCAGAGCCCTGTTTTGGGGTCAGGACTGTTCTGTTTGCCCTGTCTGAGGGTCTGGGGTGGCTTGGGACAGCGTGCTCCAGTGACAGGAATGAGGACAGGCTCAAACAGGACAAGTGATGTGTTTGTCAACACCGGGGAGAACACAAATGCCTCAGGGAAGCTGAGACATTATTTCTGGAGCAATGGAAAACTTTTAAAACCCATTTCCTGATTACTTTGACTGCTTGATCTCACAGCCTACTGTTATTTCTTTGTGTTCTTTTTCCCAAGGTGCCCTGAAGAGCAGGGAGTGAAAAATCCAAGGAAAATATGGGGTATATTTTACAGCCTGTGCCAGCTTCTCCCCCAGACCCCAGCAGCCCCTTGAACCTGCCCAGTGGCCAATGTCACTAGGAAGTTCCTCCTGACCTTGGGGCATTCTGAGCCCACCCATAATTAATGATGGACTTGTCAGCATGAGGAAAAAAATCCATTTTTATGGAAAAGCTCCCACTGGCTCCAGGAGAGGCTGGGGCAGAGCCTGCCCACGGGCTCTGGTGCCAGAGGAACCACAGGCTCTGTACCACCCACGGTCTGACAGCAAGGCCAGGAGAAGCACCTCGTTTTCAAGTCTTTGGGGTGGATCAGGGTTTTCAGCCCATGGCTGGGCTCCAATCCTTTTCCTACAGTGTTTGTGGCAGCTCCGGAGCAGAATTTTTTTCTTTGAGTTCCACAATAAGAAGTGTGGTTAGAATTTTTTTTTTTTTTTTTGAATAGGGAAAGTTTCTTGCCTGAGGCCAAGTGCAGAAATGTGGAATGGATTTGGATCAAACTTACTTTTTCTTTTGGAATTTTATTTAAAGTTAAAAAAACTCAACCCAACAAACTAGCACCTCAGGCAAGAGCTGAAGCATGGAAAATTTTATCCCAAAAGGTGGATGCTTTGTGAAATTATGAGCGTGTGAAAACAGGTGGTTAAACTGAAATGGTTTCACAGATTGAAGTACAGAGGGTGCTACCAAGAACCTGTTATAAATCCTGGAGTGAACCCTTCCTGAAAGGCAGAGGCAGTAGAACAGGCCATCAGCAAGTAACGTGAGCCACCACAGAACCCACAGGTGGCTGCAGATCCATGGCAGAGGCCAAGGAAAACCAGGAGAGGTTTGTGGAGAGGTCAGAGAGGGAGCCAAGCCCGGGATTAAATCCCAGGCTCCCAAACGACACTGCCGCGATGGGATCTGGCTGGGACAGGTTTCACTGGAGGCACCTGATCCAAGACCTGCTCCAGTCAATGGGAAGCTCCTCAGAGGGCTGGATGAGGGCCTGGAAAGTGCAGCCAGGAGGAAAAATGTGTAAGGACAGGGCTGCAGCACGTTGCAGGGCAGAGGAAGGGAATGATCAGTGAGAGGACAAGGGGGGTGGCTTTAAATTGGAAGAGGTGAGGTTTAGACTGGATATTGGAAAGAAATCCTTCCCTGTGAGGTGGGCAGGCCCTGGCACAGGGTGCCCAGAGAAGCTGTGGCTGCCCCTGGATCCCTGGCAGTGCCCAAGGCCAGGCTGGACAGGGCTTGGAGCAGCCTGGGATAGTGGGAGGTGTCCCTGCCCGTCGCAGGGGTGGCACTGGATGAGCTTTATGATCCCTGCCAACCCAAACCATTCCAGGATTTCATGACCTGTGAGAGAAAGGCCAGTTTTGGTGGATGACCATGCCCACATGTGTGTTTGTGCTACCAAAGGATTCATTACTCCATTTTCTGCGCTGGCAGGCTTTTGTCTTCACACACAGATTGTTTTCCTGCTTCACTTCACACACAGGTCACTTTCCTGGACACTCACAACACAAAAACAATCTTGTTTTTCCCCTTCTCTCTTACCCCTCTCCATGAAATGCAGGACCCTCCACGAGGTGCCTGAACTCATCCCAGTGGTCGCCACAGAGCCCTGCCAAGAAAACCTGCAGTGGGGAGCATCCAGCAGCCCTGCTGGAGCTCAGCAAGGAATGAGATGCTGCTCCCAATCTCCCTGGATCACCAGGAACGAGCTGATTTCTGCCAGGTACCTCCAGCCGAAGTGTGATTATGAAGTGTTACGACACAAGTTTTACAGCTGGGTCTTAAAGGGATCAGAATAAGGGGGAAAAATGAAAGGGGGGCTTAACCTGGAAGCCAGGAGTGTGGTCAAATTAAGGAGTGCAATGGCAATGCTAATTAAAACCCCTGGAGAGAAGGAAGGAGGAAATTACCTAATCCCAGCATTCTCACGGCGTGCTTCTTACCCAGGGACAAGCCTGGGAGATGGGACATAAAACCCAAACACGTCCTCTGTCCCCTGCCACAGAGCAGCTGGGTGTCCTTGCCTGGCCAGGAGAGCCAGCAAGGAAGTATCAGCCATGGAAAAAGCTCCTTGAACCCCTGGTGCATGGAAGCCTTCAAAGAAAGCCTCGGCCAAGGGGCAGAGCTGCAGCCTGCCGTGAATCCTAAGGATTTCCATGATTTCTCCTCACATTAGGCACTAAATCTTTTCACTGTCTGCAGCGGGAGTTGGTTAAAAGCACAAACCTGAGGTGTCCCCTGGAGTCAGTGACAATCTCCTGCAGAAGGATGGCATGTTCCAGCCTTGGACTTCTCATCCATCTGGAGACCTCCAGGCCTTGGCCCCTTGGATTTTTTCCTTCAGATCAATCCAAGTGGAAAGTGTTTCAGAAATGCCAGCCTTGCTGTTCCACGTTCCCTCTGTTCAACACAGCACCTTCCACTCTCCCAGAGTTCTAGGAGTTATTCAGGTGAGTTGTTCCTTCCTCCAGCCGTAACTACTTAAAGGAGAATGGCTTTAAACTGAAAGGGAGTGGGGTTATTTCAGACACTGTGAAGAAATCCTCCCCTGTGAGGGTGGGCAGGCCCTGGCACAGGGTGCCCAGAGCAGCTGTGGCTGCCCCTGGATCCCTGGCAGTGTCCCAGGCCAGGTTGGACAGGGCTTGGAGCAACCTGGGATAGTGGAAGGTGTCCCTTCAGTGGAACTGGATGAGATTTAAGGTCCCTGCTAACCCAAATCCCTCTGTGATTCCATGGATTCCATGGTTCTTCTGCATTATTGGCCTCCGGCACCATTTCCCACGTGTGTTTGGCAGTGGAAATGTGGCAGAACATTTTGTGGCATTCAAAGACTGGCTTTCCCCAAATTAAAACTGGTCCTTACAGACCCATTTGTGGTACCACTAATGCACTGTCTGGAGTGAGAAGTGGAAACACTCCGTCACCACAAGGAGGAAGGAACCAGGAGAGGGTTTGTAGCTGGCAGAGCTGATCCTGCACACTCTGCAGATGGAATTGCTGATTTCCCTGGATTTTCTTTAAGTGTTTTCCCTTATGCCTGAAGTGGGCTTTTATTCATGGACTTAAAGACTGTGTAGATGTGGCACTTGGGGCCGTGGTTAGTGGTGGGCTTGACAGTGCTGGGAAATGGCTGAACTTGGTGGTCTGAGAGGGCCTTTCCAGCCTAAGCAGTTCCATTCTTTCATGCACAAAGCCAGGCTGATTTTCCTGTCCTACAGGCCAGGAAGGGCAGCCTGGTCACACATGTTCCCTCACCAGCCAGGGCACACACTGCACACTCTGAAGTGTCCGTTCCCTTGCTGTTAATCTAGAGGAAAAGCTGCTTTTGCCTCCCTTTTCCCCAAAGCCAGGCCCTTTTCCTCAAATGAGGGAAGCTGCTCTTGGTGCAGCTCCAGGGGATCAGGATGAAGTTGGAAAGTGGAACAACATCAGAACCCAGAAATGAGGAGTTTAAGGGTGACAAAGGGGCCGTGGGCTGGAGTTTCCAGCTGTGTTGCTTCCTAAGGGAAAGAAATAAACACTGAAGCCTAAGCAAAGCCCCTCCTGGAGGATGCATTTCCTGGGAACTCTCACTTTGATGGCTGGAAAATGCATAAAGTTTTTCTCCTTGGAGCTGGGAGACTCTAACCAAGCCCTTGGTTAAACAAATGACAGTAAAAATAGCTCACAAACACAACACCCACACCTGGAGCAGCCCTGAAGGTGAGGTGCCCCTTTTGGGGGGATGTCTGTGACCCCCGTGCGAGGGAAATCAAATCAAATGGGAGGAGGCCAGATCCCATCAAGATACAGCTCCCAAATACATCAGGAATTTCATTTCAGAAGGAGATACCAGGATTTTACCATGGCTGTCAGAAGCATTCTCCAGGTCACGCTGCTGCATGAAAGAGAGTGTTAGAACCTGGGACTTAAACTAAACAGATTTCCTATAGGAAACACACACAAAATTACTTTGCTTCTAAAGTTACTTTTATAGATGTTTTCCCTGAGAAATATTTCTCCCTGGAAAAATAAATTCACAGGATGTAATTAAAACAGTTCTGTGCATGCATTGGGCTGGCCCCCTTTAAGTGCTTCACCAAATGCACCAGCAAGGAAAGGAATGAAAGGCAGCTTTGTTGGGATCTATTAATGACAATCTGCATTAATTAGAAAATGAGACATTGTTCTCTTGGTTTATGGCTATGAAAATGGCTGCTAATAAGGCTAAGGCTGGACTGCTCAGCTTTTGGCTTGTCTGAGCTGTTGTGAGGCCCTGAAAAATCTAAATAATCTTTGATTTGTCAAATCCTGAGCTGATGAAGGCAATGGGAGTCAGATTCCATATCCTTGGATTCTGGCATTAACCAGGTGCTGGTGACTGTTCAGGGGTTTTTTTCCCCTTTTTTTTTTCCCTTTTTTTGCCATTTTCTTTAGGTTTAGCTTTTAATTAAACAAACAAAAGTAAGAGTGAACTGTGTTGTATTAGAGCTTAGCTTTCATTCCTTGAGGAGCAAAGCTTTAATAGGATTCCTAATTAGGGATAATAATTATCTCTGCTCCTCTGCCCAAGCCCAGCTATGTGCAGTAAAACCGCTCACCCCCCTTTGCAAACCTTTTGAGTGCAGAAATAAAGCATTCTGTGATTTTGAAAGCTAAAATCACACCTTTCTAGCAGCTTTTAAAGTTTTTATTGCTATATTGCTGTCCTGATCAGAAGTAAAGCACTTTTATGTCCTTCAGGCATGGCTGGCTGTGTTTTTTGGGTCTCTCAAGCACAGCAGGGTGACATTTCTAAAGTATCTCCACTGCATGACCTCTTTTTGAGTAGAGAAACAGGAACTTGGGGTCATTTGATAAAAGAAATGTTGCATCACCGGTGAGAGAGATGCTGTAAAAAGGATCACCAGTATCATGTAATTTGGGTTGGAAGGACCTTAAAGCTCATTTCATTCCATGTGTAGGGACACCTTCCACTATCCCAGGTTGCTCCAAGCCCTGGCCAAGCTGGCTTTGAACACTTCCAGGGATCCAGGGGCAGCCACAGCCTCTCTGAGCAACAAGACTGGAAGCTGAGTTTTGGTAAATGAAACATTATAAGTTGCGTCCCTGGAGCCACTTCCAATTAAAAAAAGAGACAACACAAGCAGAGAAAAATGACCTGGAATACCTTTAAGAGAAATCCCTTCCCTGGGAGGAACGTGTGGAGCTGAGGCTTAATTTTAATTTCTTAATTTTAGTGAGTGGCAGCCAGGCCGGGATGGGAGCGGGGCAAACAAGGGGGGAAATGTTTTGTGTTCACAGCCCACCTCAGAGGTGGGCCAGCATCCAGGGCTGCTGGAAAACAGGCAGGAATGCTGCTTGGAATTCCTGCACCCCTCCTTCCCAAAGACACCTTTCTTTCCTTCCTCAGGGAATAGTTTTGAGCCCACAGTGCCCTCACGGAAATCGTGGCTGCAAATTACTTTGGGGGTTCCTTTTTTAGCACTGGGCTACAAGCAGGGCAGAGGTGGTTCTTGCTTGCTTGGGTTTCATTAAATCTCCCCTCAGCAGAGCAGCCCCGGGCCTTCTTTCCCCCCTTTTTGTTTCTCTGAGGGCTCCATTCAATAAATACACATCCGCTGCAGCCTAGCTTAATGAAATTGTGTGAGGCACTTCCAAGAGAAGGATGTTTATTTTTCTCTGCTGGTTCACCCAGGCTGCTCCGGGTGCTGTGTGCCTGGAGAGCTGCTCCATAAAGAGACCCTTGTGCCTGGGGCAGCCCTGTGTGCCTCAGCACCGGGATTCTCTAGCTGGAGCAGGCGGGTGGGCAGCACTATTTCCAGGGAATTTCGGGGGAAAAGTATGCTGAGAGCACGGTGTTAAGGTGGGAAAGTCAAGCACTCGCAAGGCCAGAGCTGCTTGGAGAGCCAGCCTAATCAATCTGTTTATGTCTCCTATTTTTGCACAGTCCCCTGCTTGCTGTATTTTCTCCTTTTTGACAGAATTGGTCACCTTTGTGCTTTTCCATAGATGTCCAGCACCATGGAGCTCCTGATGCCTGTTCCTAGCTGGATGCACCTCTCAAACCACCTCCTTTGAGGGAATGTGGAGATATAGATGCTTCTGCGGGGTTCTTGATGAGCCTTTTGTCACTAATGCAGGTTTCTGACAGGGTTAGTCGGTGCTGATCACACGAAATTTTGCAGCAGACCTCGTTTAAAAACCTCACTCCCAAGGCACTGGGAGCTGCATCCCTGGGCATGGATCTGGACTGCCTGGAATGCCTTCATGGATTGGACTGGATGATATTTAAAGGTCCCTTCCAGCCCAAACTGTTGTGTAATTTTATGAAATACTCACTGTTTGATGGGGTGGATTGGATGATCTTTGAAGGTCCCTTCCAACCCAAACCAATAATTTCCATGTAATATTCACTGTTTGGCATCTCTGTGTGTCAGAAATGCTGTTTTTTTAAGTGGACAATGGCCACACTCAGGGGAAGAGGGAGGGACATGGAATCACAGAATCACTGCCTTGGAAGGGACCCACAAGGATCATCAAAGCCCAGCTCCTGTGCTTGTTGGGAATGAGCTTTTCTCGTCCCCAGCTCTTCCCCTCCTTGCTTTTCCTTGAGCTATTTCTTCTGACAATTCCACATGAGTGCTGAAAGGAGTTGTTCAAGTGGCAAAAACACTGGGGTGGGGGGGGGGGGGGTGTGGAAAAAAAAAACCTTTCCAGCTTTATTTTCCCAACAAAATCTGAATATTTTTTTGAAGAGGAAAAAAAAAAAAACACCTAAAAATATAAATAAATCCCTTTTGTTTGCAAATCCCTGGTGGGAGTTGAGCTGAAATGTTCCTGAGTGACTCATTCCTGGGCAGCCCTTTGCCTTTTCGGATGGAAACTTGTCCTCAGCAGATTTTCTGGTATTTTCTAACCTGCCTGTAAGGAGGTGTTTCTTTTGTGGACTGAGGTAAAGGAGGCGCCTGCTTCTCCTGTGAAATTCCCACATCTGCCATCAAAGGATGACTGTTTCTCCTGTAAAATGGTGATAAAAGTTCCATCGGTGTTTTCCTTCCCTGCCTCAAACTTGTTCACAATGATGGCCCTGGAGAAAAAAATGTCTGCAACTGTGCTTGATCCATGAGCTGGGAAGCTGTGGCTGGATCCTGCTGGAGACATGGAGACACCAGGCTAATGGGTTTGGGTTCTTCATGCTCCTGAGCTGTTCCTGTAGCACAGTCCACAAGGATTTCCAGAGCCTTTCACACCCTTAATGGGAATAAATGATAGGAAAAGAAAGAGAGAAAAACAGGGAATCCCATTATTTAATTGGGAGAAATGGAAGGGATGTGTAAGGCAATCACTACCCTGTTTCCTTATCAATGGGCTGAAAATCCTAACCAAAATTCCAACAAATCAGAGGTGGTGTGACCCACACCACTCTGGCTACAAGCAGAGGGAATACTCCCATTTTTAGGGCTATTTTTCTTTAATTGTGTTCATTCTCATGGTTCTTTGCTCAGTTTTAGCCCTTTTGCCTCACTGTCAGGACAGATTGTCCCAGTTTCCCTGGGAGCAGCGGGGTGAGTGTTCAGCTCTGTCTCATGATGATGATGATGATGACAATGATGGATGATGATGATGGGTGGGATTTTCTAGTCCCTGCCTTTCTGTGGTGTTGCAGTAGAATTTCCACTCCACACCCTCTGCTTTCTCCTGGTCAGGATGGAAGGAGCAAAGTGCTGGACACCTGATGGAAGTTAAAACTCAGCTAGCTGATGCATCAGTGCTGCCCTTTTTCCCTCAGGACAGAGATATTTAAGCCCATTTGCAGCAGAATTAACTTCCTGGACTCCAAGCAACCTTTCTGTTCATCATCTTTCTGCTTCCAGCCCCAGTCCTAATGACATCCTGGATGCTGGAATTCAATTCTCCTCTCATCTCTCATTCCTGTTTTCTGTTGTTAATGCATGCCTTTATGTCCACTTCAGGAACTACAGCAATTCCCCAGAAAAACATTGGGCTGCGCTAAAAACAGGGGGATGAGGGATTTTTTCCCCCCACCTCTTTCCCCACAGATGCATTTATCACTAGGGCAACTTCACTTGAGAGTGCACTACAAATCCAAGCCGATGGCTTGGATCCAGGCAGGGAGAAGTTTTATGGACTGAGCTAAGCGTGAATTACACTTCTGGTCACGGCATTTTTTCCCCCCTTAGTTTCTTTCTTTTCCTTCACTGTGACCCTGGCATTGAAGCAGTTACAATTGCAAAGTATTTCATAATGCAGCTTTTTTTCCTGCTGCTTGGAAGGTCTGGGAGGAACCTAGGTGGATTTTAAAGGTGTGGTGCCCCTGGAAAAGGACGTTGGAGGTGGTGGTGGTGGCCAGACTAACCACTAGTTTTAGCACCAGGTGTAAATCATTGTCCTTTCCAGGCAAGGCTCCCAAGATGTCCATGTTTATCCAGGAATGAGAGAGAGGTGCATTTTCTTCTCAGTCTGGCAGTAAATGCAACCAGTGGCTTCATTCCAGGGAGTAAAAGCAGTGGATAAACAGGAGTTGACCCCTGCCCCATCTTTTCCCCTCAGCCACGTTCAAGTGAGGAGGAAGGAAGGACGGACTCCAGAAAGGAAGGACTCAAGGAAGGAGGGAAGGAAGGTCCTGGTGGGACCCCAGTGGATGGGGTGATTCCTTTCTGGTCCTTTCTAGGGATCCCATTCCCAGGAGCAGGATGGCTGAACTTGTTTTATTTGGAGCATGAGGAGCACATTTGGGAGAGGATGGGGTGAGGGAGGATGTGTCTGATCAGGAGGGGCAGTGGGAAATCTTAGTGAAGGTGGAGGGAGTGGTTGAAGGATCCTCTGGAGCAGTAGGATTTATTTATGTATTTATTTATTTAGTGAATTTGAGGGGTTTTATAACATTGCTTCAGGGTTAGGAACTGGAGAACAGGTATTGCCGAATGGGTGAGCCAGCATGTGTTGCTGTGTTGGATAAGTGACTATTTTTAGCCTTAGCCTTCTTCTGAAGGCTCCAATTTCAGTGTGGATTGCCAACAGCCTGTGCCCACAGCGTGGCATATCTGGTAGGAGCTGTCAGGATATGCTGGACAAAATGATTTCTCCAGACTTGGAAAAAGCGTTTCCTAGGTCTTCACCAAATGGTGAACTGATTGCAAGTTTCCACTTCCCCACTGCAGCCACTTAGAGTGATATAAATTGGCAGAGTTTAGTGCATTTCCCCATGGGGTTTCTCTTAAACACCTATGGATTCTCAGCACTGGAGGCTGAGTCTGCACAGTCACTCCCTTTCACCATTACTGTACAAGAACTCATCAGGACAATTTGGGATGGGCTGCTCTTCATGTGCACTTAAAGAAAAAAAAATAGAGAATCAAAGCCTGGTTCAGAAGACAAACTGCTGGAAAATCTACTGGGATATGGTATGTAAGAACCTTCTGCCTTCATTGCAGCAAGAACTGAAGGAACCTCAAACCATGAGCAACTCCGGCTTTGTCTGTTCTGTTTATCCTTCCCTTTATTCCCCTCTAGGGCTCTGCTTTGCCCACATGGATATAATGCTAATAAACAGTGCTGCATCCTCTGCTCCCCTTTCTTACCTGTCCACACTTTCCCTGCGGAAGAAAAGCAGAACTGGCTCCAAATAAAATATATATATATAAAAAAAAAACCAAAACAAAACAAAAGACAAAACAAAACAAATCCCCAAAAACAAAACAAAAAAAACCCCAAAACCAAAACCAAACAAAACCAAAAACAAGAAAAGCCCATGGACCAACATGGTTTTTCCTCTGGATGAGCCCCCTTCGCTCCACTGGAGCTGGGGGAGCTTGTTAAATGTATTCCCATTAAATGGGTAAGGGATGCAGCAGAGAATGGGATGTGCATGGTTGCTTCCCTGCCCAGAGTGGACACAGAGTGGGGCAGGCAGAGCCTCTGGGTGCAGCTGTAAATGCTGGTTAGAAACTGAGCAAAGAATTGCTGGCCCTGGGTCTGCCTCATCCAGTGGCGTAAGGGCTGCAGGCAGGGGAAAGTGGCAGTGCTAGTGGATCTGAAATTCCCATCAATCCCTGATCTCCCAGCAGGCAAAGGGAATGGGTTTGATTTGCAGACTCTGCCTCTCTCCTGCAAGTTCCTAGAGCCCAAATTACAACAGTTACAGGAAACTGTGTTTGCAGCCAGGGCCTGGTGTTTGTGGAGGGATATCCTAGCACAGAGTAGCAGGAGAGGGGATGCATGGGTGGATGGATGGGTGGGTGAATGGGTGGGTGGAAGAATGATGGATGGGTGGATGACCATGATTCCCTGTTGCCACTGGAGACTCGAAAATGTGCACTTAGAATCTGAGGGTGTGTTTTAAATGCTTGTAGAACAATAATAGGGATATAAAACTGTTAGAAAGTGTTCAAAGAAACGTCACAAAGATGGTGAAGGGACTAGAGAGAATGAAGATGGTGAAGGGATGAGGAACACCTGGGGGCACTTGGCTTGTTCAGCTGGAGAAGAGGAGGAAGAGAGAGAGAGGGAGGAGATCTCAGCCGGCCTGTATCTTCCTCCCGAGAGACAGCTTCAGTCTCTGCTCTCTGTGGCCAGGGACAGCACCTGAAGGAGCAGTGTCAGGAGAGGTTTAGGCTGGATTTTAGGAAAAGGTTCTTCCCCCAGAGGGTGCTAGGCACTGCCCAGGCTCCCCAGGGAATGGGCACGGCCCTGAGGCTGCCAGAGCTCCAAGAGCGCTTGGACAGCGCTGCCAGGGATGCCCAGGGTGGGGTTGTCGGGCTGTCCTGGGCAGGGTTGCACTAGATGATGCTCGTGGATCCCCTCCAAGCGAGGATCCCGGAAGCTGCGCTGCGGGAAACCCGAGGTAAGATCGGTTTGGTGAGCAGAAACGGGGAGCACAGGAGCCCAGAGAGCTGCGGGAGGCTGTCCGATCCTTCCCCAGCAGCCCTGGCTCCGCAGGCACCCGCAGAAGGGGGAGGGAGCCGCAGCTCCCGAGGAAAACAAGCGGCGGAAGGAGGCGAGGCCGCAGAGCCGGCGGGGAGGATCCGCCTTAACGGGAGCAGGAAGCGAAGCGGGGCCAATCGGGCCGGGGAGGAGGGGCCGGGGGAGGGCCGAGGCTCCGGGGCGGGCGAGCGGGGCCGGCGGGGCGCGATGGCGGAGGGCGGGGACCCGCCCGCCCCGGGCAGGTACCGCGGGCCGGGCGCCAGGGCGGCCGTGCCGGGACGCGGGGCTCGCTCCCCCTGCCAGCCCCTCCTCACCCCGCCGTGTGCCCCTCTCCAGCGCAGGGCGCAACCTGAAGGAGTGGCTGCGGGAGCAGTTCTGCGACCACCCGCTGGAGCACTGCGAGGACACCCGGCTGCACGACGCGGCCTTCGTGGGGGACCTGCCCACGCTGCGCAGCCTGCTGCAGGACGAGAGCTTCCAGAGGTGGGCATGCAGCCTGGGACACGGCCCCGCCGCCTGCCCCGCGGCCCACGGACCCTAAAGAGCATCCGCTCCCACCGCTGCCAGCGGCGGGGACACCTGCCACCGGCCCAGGGTGCTCCAAGCCCCGTCCAGCCTGGCCGGGAAACTTCCAGGGATGCGGGTTTTTGTGGGAGAGGTGTCAGGGAGGATGCTTCACTCGCCGTCCTCACAGCTGCGCCTTTTAGGGACTCCCATCTCAGCCGTTTTTCTTGTGAGATGTGTCTGGGTGTTCTTGCCACTGTTCCCACAGCCTGCACCTTTTGGGGACTCCCATCCCACCCGCAGTTCTTGGGGAGAGATGTTTCCTAGGATGTTCTTACTGTCCCCACAGCCTGCTCCTTTTGGTGACCCTCATCTCATCTGTTTTTTTTTTCATAGCATGGTTTGGGTTGGAAGGGACCTTAAAGCTCATGTTATCCCACCCTCTGCCCCAGGCAGAGACACCTTCCACTATCACAGGTTGCTCCAAGCCCCATCCAGGCTGGCCTTGGACACTTCCAGGGATGGGAGTTTTTATGGTAGAGGTGTCAGGGTGGGAGGGTGCTCCCCTTTCCTCCAGATCATTCCCCTGGTTTCCCAGGAGGCAGATCTCACAGCTGCGCATGAGGCTATGGCAGCTGTGCACAAACTCTTTTCAGATCAGGATGGGAATGTGATACCAGAAAAACGGGAGCCTATGGATAATGGGGAAAACATACAAAAGGGATTATAATCAACTATAAACCTGAAACACCCCATGTTACAAAATCTGCCCAGTGCTAACCCTGTGACCACGGGGATAGTTAATTAATTTTCCTGCATCATGGAGAAATCTGCTGGGTATGCTAAATGTTTCCCAGCCTCAAAAAAAAAAAAGGAAAAAAAAGAAAAAAAAAAGAAAAAAAAGGTGTTATTTCAGCAAAAAATGAGAATGAGCCAGCTCTTCTCTCTGCTACCTGGGCAGCTGGGGCTCTGGGGACCCTTGGGCTGAGGGGTTTTTGTGGGAAAAAGCAGAGTTTGACAGGAAGAGGAGGGTGGGGCCCACAGTTCCATTCCACAGGTGATGGAGTGATCAGAGAAGCAATGTCTTTGAATTTGGAGGTAGAGGTGGACCGGAAAGCTCATCCTAACCCTAACCCTGAAATGGGCAGGGACACTTTTCACTGGACCAGGTAGTTCCAAGCCCTGTCCAGCCCAGACTTGAACATTTCCAGGAATGGGGCAGACACAGCTTCTCTGGGCTACCTGTTTGGGACATCTCCCTTTAAAAGGGACAGAAGGTAGAGGTTGTTTTGGGTTTTTTTGTAGGTGGTTTTTGAGGCAGGGTTTGTGCATGTGTGCAGCCCCTGGCACAACTAAAGCCCACCATCCAAGCACTGCTCTGCTTCATCTGTCCAGGCAGCATCTGTCTGGTAATTGACAGGAGCTTTTTGGGGCTGCTAAAAGTGCCAGAAATCAAAGAATCATATCCTGAGTGGAAGGGACCCACAAGGATCATCAATTCCAAGCCCTGGCCCTGCACAGACACCCCAATGACCCCACCCTGTGCATTGCTGGCAGCGCTGTCCAAACCCTCCTTGGGCTGTGGCAGCCCTGGGGCCATGCCCATTTACCGGGGAGCCTGTTTCACTCCCCAAGCTTCCAGGGGGCACTCTCCTCGTGGGAATGGGGTTTCTCTAACCACGTGTCCCCCCACTGCAGCCGGATCAATGAGAAGTCGGTGTGGTGCTGCGGGTGGCTGCCCTGCACCCCCCTGCGCATCGCGGCCACCGCCGGCCACGGCCCCTGCGTCGACTTCCTGCTGCGCAAAGGGGCCGAGATCGACCTGGTGGACGTCAAGGGGCAGACAGCCCTCTACGTGGCCGTGGTCAACGGGCACCTGGAGTGTGCCAAGATCCTGCTGAAGGCCGGCGCTGACCCCAACGGCAGCCGGCACCACCGCAGCACCCCGGTGTACCACGCGGCACGCGTGGGGCGTGCCGACATCCTGCGGGAGCTCATCAGGTCAGAGCTTGGGGCTGCCTCTCCCTTTTCCTGCTCCCTTGGGATGCCTTCCCTCCTCACCTGGCCGCAGCCTCCACACCTCCTGGACTGGAGAGGAGGGGGTGGAGAGGTGCCCAAAGGGACATCCTTGGATTTCCCATCACTTGGCCTTGGCAACGGGTCTGTTCCCACCTGTTCCAATCCCACCTGTTCCAATCTGAGCTCAAGAGAGGAGTCTGCAGTGCTGAGCCTGCTATCCAGTCAGATCCAAACCTTGCAATCCCCCTGACTTCCACCATGCCCATGACTGGAGTTAGGAGGGAGGTGGATTCCCCCAAAAAACTTTCCTGGGGGTTGGGCTGTCTCTCAGGCAACTCCCTTGGCAGCACCAGCAGGGCTCAAGGTTTAGCAGGAGGCTGTGGGAACTTGAATTGCTCCTTCTGTGGCATGCCCTGATTTGTACTTCTTTTAAAATGGGATGATTTTCTGTCCAAGGGATTGTGCTGGACAACTATGTGGGCCATGGATGCCAAATAATAAGGGATTATAATGGGAAAATGTAGGTTGTAGGGAGAAATAGTGAAAGAGAAGAAAATTGAAGGAATCCCTTTGATGACCTCAAATGCTAGAAAATAACAAAAGGATTTGAATGGTAAAAGATTCATATTCCTTGGGGATTTTCTTCCTTTTTTGAATTTTCGTACAAGTACAGCTTGGAGGAAGAAGGAGAGATAATCCCCCTCCTCCTTGGTCCTTTCCCAACAAGCTGAGGAGAGGATGTTCCCATCAGCACAGGCTTGTTGATACAGGGTTCAACGTGCTGCATTCCCAAAAATCTCCCCTGCTCTCTCCACCCAGGCAGGGTGAAATGTAGCAAATGGTATTTCAGCAGCACTGGGAGAGCTGATGTCTTGATTTATGTGTCTGCTCCTTGGGATACCTCACCAGCAATGTTAAAAGCAAGATTTTGGACAACTTTCAGGATTGAAAATTAGCTGGAGTTTGTCCAGTCTCTTTTTATTAGGCAATGTCTCTCCCAAGGCTGCTAAGCTAATACCAAATTGTCAGATTGCCCAAAATTTCAAATATCTTGGAGTAGGGATTTCAGAGATCTGTGAAAAGTTCTTAGTGAAAAATGCAGCCTTTATGTTACAGGGATTTTTAAGATGTTGGATCTACAGGATTTGGCAGGGAGAGTTCAACGAGGAAGACACTTTTCCTGAGAGAGGAGGGAATATTTTGAGAGCCTGAACCCAGTCAGGTGTGCTGCAGGTGTGTAAACAGCACCTGGTTTGAAAATCCTATGGTAGCACCGTTGGAATCCCTGAGCATTCCTACAAATGCTGAACCAAGCAAGAGGTGAAATCCCATCCATGAACAGTAAATCCACACGTAGCTATAAAATGGGGATCCATTTTACTGGGAGGCTGCTGGAATATTTAGGGCTCTAATGCCAGGGTATAAATGACATTCCTCATAATTTGGGATCATGCTGTGGTGGGATCCACTGCTACCTGCAGTGGAACTGAGGATAGCAAGGATGAGAGGATCCTTTTGCCAGGCTAAAACTGGGAAAAAGAGAGCTGCCAGATCACCCCCATCCCTCAGGTACATGCCTAACCCTGCTAAAAGTAGAATTTGGGAGTTTGCTTTGAACTGAGGGCTTCCACTGAGAATTTTGATGGTAATAATGGGGGAAGAAAGAACTGAAATGAAGGGAGATTGCTGTCTGCTCAGGAGGCAGTGGCCTTAAAACAGCCCTATGGAAGTCCCAGAGCAGCATGGATAACTCTGTCCAAATGCTTGTCTAATCTGATTTTAAGGGAAAAAATACACTTTGTGCCATTTGCAGCTCTTAGAGGAGTCTCTCAGCCCTTGTTCTGGGTGTGCTTAATTGGACTGAGACTCTTCCCATGCTCAGCACTGCAAGATTTGGTTGAATATTTGCTGGATAGGGAGCGTCCCTGCTGGTTTCAGCAAGAACTGTGCCTGCTTTGAGGTAGGATTTGTCCCCAGATATTTTCCTTTGTTCCATGATCTCCCGAAAGGAATATCATGCTATCTAGGAAAAACCTGGTTCTCTGAGTGCTCAGTTTGCAATCTGGGGAGGGGGACTGGTGGGTGAAGGAACCTTTTCTCCCTCTGTGGGTAGAAAGGACAGGGCTTTGCAATTAAAACCAGCTACTCCTTAGGGATTGTGAAGTCTTCCTCCTCCTTTCCATCCAAGCTGCATGAGAGCTACATGGAGTTACTGTCCCCACTGCTGAGGGAATCCCCAGCAGCTTCCAGCTCCTTCGGGAGCAGGTATTTGTCATGGATGTTTCGCTGTGGAGTGCAGATTCCTGTTTCCATTTCCCTGGTGTTTGGGATCGAGTGCCTGTGTCACTTTCTTGGCCCCTGTTTTATCCTGGTAGGGAAGTTATTTCAGCATCCCTCTTCAGTGGAGTCATCTGGAAACATCCCTGCTCCCCAGGCAGCTCGTTAGCATCCAGCATTATGTGGTGCTGGCTAAGGGCTGAGCCATCCCTGGTGCCAAGGCACGAGAGGAGAGAAAATAAAACGGAAAGTTCCTGGGTTGAGATAAGGAATGGGAGAGATAAGGAGCAGGAGAGATCATTCACTAAATACCATCACAGGCAAAACAGACTCAACTTGGGGGCATCAGTTTAATTTATTCCTAATAAAATCAGAGCAGGGTAGTGAGAGGTGGAATCAATCTTAAAAAACACCTTCCCCCACCCCTCCGTCCTTCTCAAGCTCTACCTGTTCCCCTTCATTCAACATGGAGGAAGCTTCTGAAAGAAGCCAGCCCTGTACCCTCCCACCACCAAAACCTGGCCATGCAAACCCAATCCATCAGGAGGGCAAGGATGTTACTGTTGCTTCTCTCTCCAAATCCCAGGCAAGGATGTTGCTGTTCCTCCTCTCTCCAAATCCCGGGCTGCTGTGGGCAGGGAAACATCTTTGCTTCTGGGAGATCACACTGTATTGTCCCAGCTCAGAAGCACTGCCAGGCCCATCTGAGGGTAGGGATGGGCGGGTTCTAGAGGTTCTCACTCTGCACATGTCCTTCAGCCTCGTCCCTTGCCATTCCCAACCTTCCCTCCCTCTCCCTGGAGCAGGTACGGCGCGGACGTGGACGTGAACCACCAGCTGGCTTCCCGCGGGCCGGGGCAGGCGCTGCGGCCGCTGACCACGCTGGTGGTGTGTCCCCTGTACATCAGCGCTGCCTACCACAACCTGCCCTGCTTCCGTCTGCTGCTGCAGGCGGGAGCCAACCCGGATTTTAACTGCTGCGGGCCCATCAACGTGCAGGGCTTCTCGCGGGGCTCGCCCGTGTGCGTGCTGGACGCCGTCCTGCGGCACGGCTGCGAGCCGGCCTTCGTCCGCCTCCTCATTGACTTTGGAGCAGATCTCAACCTCGTCAAGGTGGAGGCCTTGGGAGTTGAGGCCACGGGGAGGGTCAAGGTGAATGCCGAGGCGCTGGAGGTGTTCAAAGAAGCGAGGGGTGAGTGGGTTTGGGTCCCTGGAGTGGCGCCGCAGATGCAGGAGAGCACTTTGGAGGGGTTGTTTGGAAGTGAAGGTGCCGCTGAGGTGGTGGGGTGGGTGTTGGTGTCCTCACTTCAAGGATCTTCAGCAATCAGATAATGGGGTCTAACAAGCTGAGAAACAAAGCATTAATGACTTCTCCGCTCTCTGCTTTTCCCCTGTTGCATTTTTTACCTTCACGTGGTATTTTCCCCTCTTGAGTCCTTCAGCAGCAAAACCTCTGTCTGTTACTCCACCTTTTTCATCTCTCCCAGCTCTTTTCCATTGCCTGCTCATGTAGGCAAGGTGTAGGGGTCCCATCCGAGCTGGACTTTGGAGCTGTGGATCACCAGTGGCATCTAGTTCTCCAGAGCCATACAGGTGTGTCCCAGCTTCCTGTGTGACCCTGGGCTCTGGATCCAGGAGGGAGTTTAATCTGGACAGACTGGTTGGGAAGGAAAGCCACAAACACAGATAAGAAGTGGTAAGGGGGCAGGAGCAAGCTTGGATGGAAGTGAAAAAAGGTGGGGAAAAGCGCAGCACCTTGGAAGCCCACCTGGTAAAGGCCACAGCTTTGCACCAGGGGTGGAAGTAAAGTTTCCCTCTTGAATTCCAGAGAAATTTCAAAGGGATTCAGGCTCTGGGATACAATTCATATCCCCAGGTTACTCAGCTTTGCATGGGCCTGATTTTCAAACCTGCTTGGGATTCTGAGGGGAGAAGCTCACATAAGCTGGAGTTCCGTTAGGCCTGGGTTGAGGAGGCAAATGGGATTCCTGAGGTGGAGCATATGGGATAATGGAGTGATGCCATGGAGGTCCAGTTCCTGAATCAACATGGGCACCAGCATCCTCTTGTCCCTGTGCTGGAAGAGCTCTCCATGGATGCAGAGGAAGCCCTCAAAAGAAAGTTGGGATAAGGTCTGAGCTGGCTGTCGGTGCTGTTGTTTTGCAGGGGATGGGTGGGGAAAAAAATACGATCTACATAACTTTAAAATGATCCAAATAGAATTGTGGAGGTGGACGGGATCCACGGGGATCATCCAGTCCAAGCCCTGGCCCTGCACAGACAACCTGACAATCCCACCCTTTGCATCCCTAAGAGCCCTGTCCAAACACTTCTGGAGCTCTGGCAACCTTGAGGCTGTGACCACTCCCTGGGGAGCCTGGGCAGTGCCCAGAACCCTCTGGGGGAAGAACCTTTCCCTAAAATCCAACCTAAACCCCCGGTACAGCTCCAGCCTCTCCCTCAAGTCCTGCAGTGGGCTCGGCAGTGATGTCCTCCATGGTCTCCAGCCCATCCAGCCTGCAGCTGGCCCTTCCAGCCTGCCTGTGCAGTTGGAAATCTCCAAACCCAGGAGGTGTTACCTCCTCAAGAGGCAGGATTTGTGCACGCTCAGCTCTCCTGCCCTGCCTGTGTGTTGCTGTTGTGCCTCTCTCTTTCCCCAGTAATTCTTGCCTGTGTTCTTCCTTGCAGGCCGCACCCGGAGCCTCTTGTCTCTGTGCCGCATAGCTGTACGGAGAATCCTTGGCAAATCCCGCCTGGAGCTGATCCATAGCCTTCCCATCCCAGACCCCATTAAACAATTTTTACTCCATGAACACAGTTAAAGGGCAGCTGGCTGCTTCTGGGGACAGTTTGACTTGGTAAATGAGTGCCCTGACAGAGCCAGGTACCAATCTTGCCCCTTTCCCCCTCATGGAGTGCACATAATTCCCTGCTCCTGTTTTTTCCCCTTCAGATTTAGGGTGCAGTGATTCCTTGTGTCTTATCTCCCTGGGGAGAGGCTGCTAAACGTGTGTGGGTATTGCTGGAGCAAATACAATATATCCTGCAGCTGTTGGCAAATGTGTAACCTCTGTTGCTGATCTGTGTTACACACACACCTGGGGTCTCTGTGGCATTTCTGATGGGGAAAGTGTCCCTACTTTACTATTTTTCCCATCTCAGCACATAAAACCAGAAGTTCTTGCCTACATTTTACTCCATATCCCATGCTAAGGCCAGAGAAAACCCCTGCAGAGCCACGTAATAGATCCATTTTGTTTGCATCGTGGAAAAAGGAGAAAAAAGGTGTTTTTTTGGTTTTTTTTTTTTAAGAGTTGGCAGATCTTATGCTTCTTATCACAGTGTTGCATCCAGCAGCCTGGGCTCCTTTGACTTCCAGTGCCTCTTCATGCCACAAACTCCCAGAAGAGTCATTCTGCAGGGATTCAGCAGCCTTTTGTTGGGATCTCAGGGTCAGCCAGTGATGTGCTCAGTGCAGAGGAATCATTGTCAAAACAGCAGCTTTAGAAGGATAGAGATGCTGGTGCCTCAGGATCTTGGAAAAAGTCTCAGGTGATAATTGGTACTTGCTTTAACTTTTCCAATTCAAGTAAAGTCACTGTGTTATAAGTTTATTTTTTTTTTTTGGATGATTTTTCTTTGCTAGCTCTTCTTCCCATGCTCATCCACCTGGCAAAGGTAATTTTCCAGATGTGACCTTAAATACCAGAGAATCCCAGCTTGGTTTGGGTTGGAAGGGACCTTAAAACTCACCTAGGTCCAAGCCCCTGCCACTGGCAGAGACACCTTCCACTATGCCAGGTTGCTCCAGGCCCTATCCCTGGACCCTATGGGTTTACCCCGTAGGCCTGAACACTGGTTCCAAAATCTTTTCCTGGAGACACAAATAAATGCAAAAGCAAACCAAAGCAGAGGATATTTCCAGACCTTCTCCAGGTGAGGTGCTGTGGGCAGGTGAGGAGGGGCAGTTCTGCACCATTCCCTTCCCAAGTCTGCAGCTGGTTTCATTTTTCCCAGCGCTGGCAGTGAGCTGTGCACTGGCTTTATAGAGGTGTGAACATGCCTGGGAGATGCAAACAGGTTGTAAAGCCTCTTGGCACCTTGCTGGGGTATCCATAATGGTTTGCAGAAGTTCACCGTGCTCCCAAGCTCCAGTATAGGGAAGCAGAAAATGAGATGGGCTGTCTTGAGAAAATGCCATGGGAACAGCTTTTGGGGTTGGTTTTTCCTTGAGGATTTTTAGTTGGTTTGTAAATGGGAACCCCAACGGGGGTGAAGGTGGCAGGATGGATGTGAGGAGATCTGGAAGGACCCACAGGGATCATCCATAGCTCCTGGCTCTGCACAGACACCCCAGCAATCCCATACTGTGCACCTCTGAGAGCATTGTCCAAATGCTCCTGGAGCTCGGGCAGCCTTGGTGTTGGGACCATTCCCTGTTCCTGTGCTCAGCAACCCTCGGGATGGTGCTTCCTCCTGGAATGAGCTGCAGTGAAATGCCTCCGTGGAGTATCAGAGGGTGACCCAAAGAAATTGAGAGAATGGACTCAACTCACTGCTTGATGTAAGTCTGGCTGTAATTAAAGCTGAGCCTGTTACACTGTTAATTAGAGATCCCATCCAAAGGATTCCCCTATGCATGGATTTCTCCAGGTCTAAGGATGATTCTCCCAGCCCAGTACCAAACCAGTCTGAGGTTCATCAGTGACTTGGAGATGTGCAGAATCAAGGCTTTGGAGTGCCTGGATCATCCATCCAACTTCTGTGTTCACTGAGGGACTTGGCCTCTGGAAATGGCCAGACCTTTGGCTTGAGGGACTGGAATGAATCCAACCTGCGGATTCTCATGAAATTAAGCTCTAAGTGCACAGGATTCTGTTGGAATGAAGTCCCTGTGGAGATTGGTTGCTGTGGCTACTTAAACCCCGCTTTGCTGAGCTGGTTTAATACAAAGAGAATTTGGAATTTTCACTGTAGAAAGATAATAATCTCAAAATAGATTAAAGATATTCATAGACTTCATTGTCCTGTCCTATAGGGCCAAACCCTACATCCTCTGCCTTACACTGCCCTTTTAAACCCAGGAAACAATAGTCTTCCAGTATGAAATCTCAATAATTCATGCATTTCTATCCTTTCACACTATATAAACAGCATTTCTTTTTATCTTAGCTTGGACTTCACCATTCCCTCCTATGCAGCAAAGCAATCCATTTTGTAAAGGTATTTTTTCCCATGTTGTCCATGGGGCATGTTCAGATAATGTAAGTAAAAATTGAGTTTTGTCAAGTTGTGGGTGGGAAATTAAACATTCCTGCAGTGTACATCCCACACATTGGAAAATGCCCATTATATTTGTGCAGAATATATAAAGTATGTGTGGCGTGGTCTTGCTGGAAGCTTGAATGGGACAGGATAAGAAGCTTTGGAAAATGCTTAGAGAACCAAACCAGATCTGGAATCAGCCAAGCTGCTCCAAAGCTGTCTTTTCACATTGGCTTTCTTGTCTTTGTTGCTAGGGGAGGATTTCCAGGGCACAGGATGCTGGTAGCTGGGATCCAAGTATCATTTTCCAGCAGGAAAATGATATTTGGATCTCCTCTGCAAAAGGTGGGGGAAGGCATCTGTTGGGTTTAAGTGGTTTTTTGGTTGGTTTTGGAGGTTTTTTTGTTTTGGTTTGGGTTTTTTGCTTGTTTTGTTTGTTTTTTGTTTTTCAGTCCCCGAAGTCAAGTAAAGCCCTTTTTACCCCAAACCAGCCCTTGAGTAACAGTACCTTTTTAGCCCTTCCTCTTCCAGTGAAGAAAACTGTGGCAGGACACAACAGAGGGGACAACATGCCACTTCCAGAAGTGCTCATCAGTGCCTATTGGCTTTTCCCAGGGTCATGATGGTTTGGGACAGCAGCAGGATCAGACCTGAGGGCAGGTGGGAGGTACCTTTGGTGAGCCTGGATCCACCTGCAGCCCAGTAAAGAGAAGAATGGCTCTGAATCTGGGAAACCCTGGATCCTACCGGCCTTTCCCCGTTCTGTAGCCACTGGAGGGGGCCGGAGAACCGCGGTCCCTGCTTGGGGGTTACCGGGACAGCGTCGGTGCCACCTCCTGCCTTGCCCCTCCTGGGCGATGTTCAGGGCATCCTGAATATTTTCTGCCTTCACACCGGGCTGAAGAGAGCTCTTTAAACCTCTCATTTCTGCTCCTGCTCCCTTGGTAGCTCTGGAAATGCAGCTCCGCAGTTTGTCTTGGCATGCAAGTAGATGTAATTCCTCAAAATATTTTGATTCTTGTAACTTAGCTTTTTTATTTTGTGTCATTTTCACTGGAAAACTCCCTACAAGCTTGAGCAGCAAAAGTTTCTGCTGGTTGCTCTGTTTTTCCTGAGGATTAGCATGTGTACCTGAGGATTTAGTTAATGCAGCTGCCTCCAGGCAAGGGCACAGTCCCTTTTTTAGGATTCCTGCTTTTTTCTCTTGGGAGATGTTTGTCTGATCTGGTGCCAGTGTTTCCTCTGAAGGCAAAACCAGAGTTTTTCCTAAATTGGAAGTAAATGATCAAATGGTCTGGAACGATGGTGATGAAACACAAAGCCAAACAAGCCCTAATCTTAAATTTTAACACTTCCAGCCTCAATATTTTTCTAATTTGGAGTGTCTCCCTCCTGCCTCTTCACGCGTTTCCCCCCAGGCCACCTCAAACTGGTACCCACAAGTCAGTGACAGCATCTCTGTGCTGCAACTTCGAACTGGAGATTTATCCTCAAACAGGAGAGATTTGTGTGTCTGAGCTGCCAGTCTGGGGACAATAAAGGTGGAATTGTTTAAAAGAATTGCATGTTATTTACCTGTCCCCTCCAGGACAGACAGGCTGAGATTTCTGGCCCCCTCTCACTGAATTTCCTGTATGACAGACTCACCTGAGAGCCTCTCCTTGCTTTATATAACAGCATTGCAACATGTTCCTTATTACTTATGCTTGTTAATCTCATTCTGAGATCTGCAGCAGCGAGGAAAAGATTTCTTCTTGTGCTGTGTGATGCCCAAATATTCACTCTGGGCTATGAGAGCTGACCAAATCTCTGTCAGTCTCAAAGCATTTCCTCTAGGATCTGTTCTTCCCACTCCCCAGGCACTGCTGGGGAAGCCCCAAGTTATTCAACTTTTTATTGTTGTTGTTCCCCATCAGCTCCTCCAGCCTTGTCTTCCTTCCCAGAAGAGCTCTTTGTGACCCCTGCAACTTGCAACTATGAAGAAAAAGAAAGAAAAAGGTCGTGGAAGAAAAAGAAGGAAAAGGTTCTGGCTGCCCCATCCCTGGAAGTGTTCCAGGCCAGGTTGGACAGGACTTTGAGCAGCCTGGGGTAGTTGAAGTTGTCCCTGCTCATGGCAGGAGATGGAATGGGATGGGCTTTAAAGTCCCTTCCCACCCAAACTTTCTTGGATTTCATGGAGAGGGCAGTGGCTGCCCCAGCCCTGCTTAGTGACAGGAGGCTGCAGCCCCCACAGAGCTCATTCTCCATCTGCATCCAGCACCTTTCCCATTCTTCCCTCTGCATCCAGCAATTCTGCCCCCCAGCACACGTGCGCTGTTCTGTTTTCCACCTTTTCTCTTGTTTAGCTGGTTCCCATTGTTCGTGCTTGGGAGAGGGCTGCAGTGTGCTGTTGTTTACAGGAAAGTGCTCTTTGTTTCCCCGGCGTGGAGCATCTGGTGTTTGTGAGAGGCACGGCAGAGCTTTCCAACAGAAACTCAGCCAACCCGAGCATGCCTGGCCAGGAGTCCACGTGTGCCACCATGGCCTTGCTCCTAAAAAGGGTCTAAAAACTCCCGAGACAAGCCGGGCTGGACAGGGCTTGGAGCAGCCTCATGAAAGGTGTCCCTGCTCATGGCAGGGTGTGGAACAGGATGGGTTTCAAGATCTTTTCCAACTCAAAGCGCTCTGTGATTCCACGATCCAGCATAGAGAGATAAATAAAGGCAGGATGGGTAGGAGGGAGCAGGAGAGCTTTGTTGATTTATGGCTCCAGCCATCCCCCCTCAAGGCACCAGGATGATGGACGATCCGTGCATGCTCCCCTCCCCATGGCACAGGCTGTCCATGAGCTTTCCAAACATACCAGGGTGAGGTGATGCTTGCAGACACGGCATTCCCGCTGATGGCGCCTTTCCACAATCAGCTGAAAGCTGCTCAGGGAATTTGGGAAGCTGGGCTCCAGCCATGATCTGCTTGGCCAACCCTGCACTTGCCTTTAATTTTAATAATTTGGCGACATCCATTTATTTTAATGTTTCGCAAAGTGGGGCCTGCGTTTCCTCAGAGAAAATGAGAGTTGAAGGATGGTAAAATGCCTCCATAAATTGGAAGTTAAATTAAGAAACAGTTTTTAGAGCACTGAGTGCTGTTAGCCCCATGTTGTGGTGTCACTCACAGCATTGGGAGCCTGTGGTACCCGTTGGAGGCACAGATTTAGGAGGCACAGGGAGTGGGCTTCATTGTTTGGTGGGTGTTTCTGAGCCTGCTTTTGTTTGTTATTGGGATGTATTAATGGGTTCACCGCTTGTTTCGCCTCCCACAAGATGCAGTTTTTACCAAAAATTCCTTTTTTTGGGGGATAATTTTAGCTATTGAGCATTTTATATCAGTGTGGGAGCAGCCTCTGGAAGTTTTATCCTTTTGATCTTATCTTTACACAAGGAGTGTTTACAGGGATCTGGAGTGCCAAATCAGGGGGAAATGGCTTCCCACTGCCAGAGGGCAGGGATAGATGCGATATTGGGAAGGAATTCTTCCCTGTGAGGTTGGGATGCCCTGAGGTTTGCTCACAGAAGCTGTGGCTGCCTCATCCCTGGAAGTGTCCCAGGTCAGGCTGGACGGGGCTTGGGGCAGCCTGGGATAGTGGATGGTGCCCATGGCACCTGGACATCCACCTCCAGGTCCATCCTACTGAGCTAGAAAGCAATTTGGCTTTGTAATGAATAGATTGTAAGACTGTTGTCTGAAGGTGTTCAAGGCTTTATCTTCATCAAGGCAACCAATAAATCTTATAAATGCCATTAGGCAAGCAGAAATTCCCAGTTGTCCAAAGTTCCCATTAGTATCAGGTCCTTTAATTACCAACCTCCATTAGTGCAGACTTTCTCCAAGCTGATGCATTAAGGAATCGCAGAGGGATTTGGGCTGGAAGGGACCTTCGAGCCCATCTCACTCCACCCCTTGCCATGGGCCATCACTCAAACCGAGCTGGGGGCCAGCTGTGAGATCTGACAATTGAGAACTATTTTTAACCCAGCAGCCCGAGACAGTGTCTGGTCTCTTTTGCTGGGAGTTGCTCTTGCTGGGTGTTCAGCGAACTTTGGGCTGGATCCATAAACTTTCAACTCAGTGATAACCCGGGATATTTCATGCATCGTGGACCATGAAGGATGCAGAGATGTCAGCAGAAGCCGTTGTGCCAACGCAAACAAGGCCAGGAAATTTTACTGTTCCCATTGCTGAGAACCTTGTTCCTCTTTCCTCTGTGGATGTGTCTATGCATCAAGAGAGTCCAAAAGGTGCAGGTAAACATAAATCCCATATTTCTGTGCTATCCAAAGACAAAAAATGGGAGAATTAGAGATTATTTATATATTCAGACTTCTGGAACTCTGAGCTTTGTGCTGCTGTGAACAGCTGCACGTTTGTGCTTGCTTCCCACAAGACAGCATTCAAAATGTCACAGATTAATGGTGAAAATGCATCATGTCCACTCTGAACCAGCACAGAATTCACTGGGAAGCATTGGCTGGACTTTAACTTTGGTTCCCAACTATAGTGTCCATCCAGCTAAAGGAAAAACTCTTCCCCCCAGAGGGTGCTGGGCACTGCCCAGGCTCCCCAGGGAATGATCAGAGCCCCAAGACTGCCAGAGCTCCAGGAGCATTTGGACAATGCTCTCAGGGATGCACAGGGTGGGATCATTGGGCTGTCCTCTGCAGAGCCAGGAAGTGGACTTGGTGATCCTTGTGGGTCCTTTCCAGCTTTGGAGATTTCATGGTTCTTTTCCCCGGTATGAAAAATGCTTCTCCTGGCTTTGAAGTGCCTGATCTGGTTAGCAGGGGTCAGGTGTTGGAACATGACTGAGGATATTACATGGGCTGATTAAATCAAGGCATCTGGCATGGACGTCCTCATGCAGATAGGTTTCCATGGAAAACAGTTCCCATGCCATGAATGTCACCCGAGGATTAGATTACAAATCAGATGGATCTCGTGTGCTTCCTGAGACCACCATTCCTCCCAGATGGAGCTGGTTCCGCAGGCCAGAGTACTGCTCAGTGGTCAGGCCCACAGCTCTCTCCTCCTAACGGGATTCCCGATGTCCCTGTGCAGGTGACTCCAGCAATGAATCACCATTTTCCCTTCCCAGTGTCTGAAGCTGCCTCCTCTGCGTCCCACATGGGGGATGGAGCAATGAGCTCTCTGCCTTGACGTGGGTTCGATCCCATGGGAACATCCAAGCCTGGGCGCAGCCAGGCCCATTTTCTCCTTGAATTCAGGGTTTTTCCGTCCCATCTCTGTGCCCAGACTCCCCGAGTCCAAGCTGGTTGCCGTGGATGAGTGCCACGTCTGGTGGTTGTGATTCACCCTGGCGTGTGGGAAGTCCAACCCAGCAATTCATTTCCCTGCAGCTGCCGAGCACTGACGTTGGTTTAGCCCCACTGGGGACAGGGAGAGAGGATTTTTCACGAAACAGCCCCAAATGCTGAAGTCCCCACGTGTTTCAGCTCTTACTCACCCGCTCCTAACAGCAGAAGTAGCCACTCAAAGGATGGGTCAGAGTCTCCCTTCCTGCAAGGTGACATTGCCCGCTGGAGAAGCAAAACCAGTTTGTACCAGAAGATTTTAATTGGTTCAGGACTTCCAAGACCCAGTGCGAAACTGGACCTGCGCAAACTTTATTGTGCTGTCTGAGTCAGTGCTGCACCTTTCACTCTTGATTTTTGCCCCTCTATTCATCTGCAAAGTTGACAAGGAGATGTAGATTGTGGGCACTTCAAGTCCTGAGTGGCCTGGACACAGCAGGTGCTGAGAGCTCCACGTTGCAGGACAGAACCAGGGGACAGAGGGGCCCTGGGCTTTTTGGGTCTCCAGGCAGATGAGGGACAGGCAGAACTTGATTTTTAGGTATGTTGTGGCTCATGGGACTTGTGTCAGGCTGCAATTCAGCAGGAGCTGGTCTGTTGCCGGTGCTGCCAAGATCCAGGAGTTAATTCTTATTCCATGAGAAGGCCAGAGCTTGCATCCAGCCAGTTCCCTGGGGTGCAGGGAAAGAAACGCTCTGAGAAATAAACACAGACACAAACAAACACCAGACTTGGCGCGCGGCTTCGCAGGCAATGGGAATATCTTTTAGATTCCTGCCGCGGTAATTGGCCTGCGAGGAAGCTTCCCTGCTCTGCCCTTTGGCTCCCGAGGAGGCTCTGCTTGCCAAAATGCTTTGTAGTCCCTCGAGTTGTGCCTGGGCTGGACTCTGTTCTTCTGCCCAGTCCAGCCCAGCACTCTCCCACAGGCTCACCCTGTTCCTGGTCTAACCTATTCCCAGGGATGTGCACTGAACCTCCTTCCCAAGAGCCCCACCCTCTGCTCGTGCATTTTATTCTCATTCTTGGTGCTGCTCACAAAAAAGCTTCCTAAATCTCCCTTGCTCCTGCTGAGGTTGTCCTTTCTGCAGGGTCTTTCCTGTTTTGCTGGGGTAGAATCTGGTCCCACCTGGCACTTCTCTCCCGAGCCTTTGTTTGCCTCACTCCACACCTTCCTGGAAATCCAAGCCCAAATCCCTGACCTTACCTGCA